GGACAGGGTGTGCCCCACACGGCCCTTCCTGACCCGCCTGGCGCTCAGTGCTGGTGCTGGTGCCATGGGTGGACCGAGGGCTTAGAATTGTCTCCGGGAAGTGAAACGAAGGATCATCTTTTCTATTTCTGTCTGCCGCTGTATTTTCTGCATTGACCTTGTACGACTATATAATTTTTAAAGGAGTTAACTTTTATGATATATGGGGGGGGGGGGGGGGGGGGAGAAATGCTGAGGTAATTCTGTAAGGTACCTCTAGGTCTCTCCTTGTTCATAAGCTTTGTGTGATATTACCACTATCACATTTTGAAGACTTCTTTAAAATGCATGTTGACGTAGGAAGAATACAGTGCCTTCCATGTCAGTCCAAAAACAAATGATCTTCGTTTCCACCAACAGTGGGCTTAGACACCCTGGGTTGGGGCGAGTCAGCCTTCACATTGCACCTGGGTCTGTGGCCTTCTTACCCACTCAGTCACTTCCCCCTCAACACTGCCCTGGCCAGCGCTGTGTGGTCAGCCTTTGGAGAAAGGTCGGGTTGGAAGAAGGTTTGGGTGTTGTTAATCCTCAGTGGAGGACATTTCTCCACTGATTTGTAGAGAGAGTGGAAGGGCGGGGAAGAAACAGAAACATCGGTGTGAGAGAGCCCCGTCGATTGGTTGCCTCCCTCGTGTGACCCAACCGGGCCAGGATCAAGCCTGCGGCCGAGGTACGTGCCCTTGGCTGGAATCAAACCCAGGACCCTCAGTCCATAGGCTGACGCTCCAGCCACTGAGCCAAACCGGCTAGGACTGGAAGGAGGTTTTTGAAATAAGATTTTTGTTTTCATACGGAAAAGATCTTACTTAAATGTGGTAACCTGTGAAGAATGCTCAATATCATTCGTCATTAGTGAAATGAAAATTAAAGCCACAATGATATCCACTACACACATTGGAATGGCTAATGGTTTTTTAATTGGCAATATCAAGGACATAAAGCAATTAGAAATATCAGACATGTTTTGGCAGGGTTTCTTATAAGTTTTAACATGCACTTACTACTCGACCCAGCACTCTCATTCCTAGGGTTTATTTTTTTCAAGAGAAATGAAACATATGTCCAAACAAGGACCTGTATGCAAATGTTAGAGGATTTATTCATAATTGCCAAAAACTGGAAACAACCCAAGTGTCCACAGAATGGGAGACTGAGGGTAACAAAAGGAACAAACTACTGGTGTGCGACAATGTGGCTGCATTTCAAAGGCAGGCCCTCCGTGACAGGAGCCGCACAAAGGCTGCCAGAGCACGGCTCTATTTGTATGAAATCGGAGAAGCAGAGCTGGGGACACATCAGATCCGGGGCTGGGAGTGAGATTGACCTCAAAACGGCAACTTTCCGCCATGATAGAAATACCCCCACCCCTGCTTGACTATGCCAATGGTTATAGGACTGTCTGTAGCTGTTATTGCGTGTGCTCTCTTAACTCCATAAAGCCAACGTAAAGTCATATCATGTAGGCTCTTGTCGGGTAGCTCAGTTGGTTAGAACATTGTCCTCAGACACCAAGGCACCAAGGTTTCGGGTTCAGTCCCCAGTCAGGGCACATAAGAAGCAATCAGTGAATGCATAAATAAGTGGAACAACAAATCAATGTTTCTTTCTCTCTCTAAAAAAGAGTAATATGTAGTAGATGGATGTAAAGAGTGATGAGCATCTTTGACTGAACAGCAATATAAGTGCTTAGTTCTCTAATTGACGAATATATTTATCATGTTATGTAGCTAATGATCTATTGTGTGACTTGTACATCATTTTTGCCCTCCTGGATGTAGGGAATAATAACACAGAGCCTTTAGTTAATGTTCATGGCAATTGCTGAGTGATTGGAACTGAGAAGCAGAATTTCCTATGAGAGTGGATGCATTTACAGATAACCAAAGCTGGAAGCTTGGACTGTGGGTGGAAACCAGCAAAGGTTACTGCGCTGGGGACAGGTGGGACCTGTCTGACCTCCTGAGTAACGATGGTGACTGGAACGGAGTCTAGCTCCTGCTTCCTCTGCCAACTGCTCGAGCCTCGCTCCCAGTGGGTTGGAGACCGATTCGCTTGGTGACCAATTGCCCAAAGCTGGTGTGCCAAGACGAACCCACTTGAAAACTGTGGGCATTCAGTCTTGGCTGCGAGGCCGTCCAGCTGAGGTGGGTGGCCCCGCATCTGCTGCCGCATTGTGCTGCCTGCTGCCTCCATCTGCTTTCTGTCAGAGCCGGTGCCAGCGAATCACTGATCTATTAGAGGAACATGGACCCGGAGCGCACCTCGTCCTGGCTGGGCCTCTCCGGTGCTGCTGGGCTCACATTCGGTTTGTGTTTGTGTTTGTGTTTATGGGGGCGGGGGGCGGGCGGGTGATACATCAAGCAGGCAAAGATAGCGTATCACCCCCACAGGGGCATGAATCAGTTTTCACTCCTTCCCACACAGTTTTAAACGATTGTGGGAAAATCCTATCAATGGTTATCGATAACAACCGGTGGTGGTGAGAGTTCCTTCCATTCAGAGGTGACTGCCCAGCACTGGACCATCAGTTTGTGCCTGTGCCCATCACCAGCCTGACTTACAGACGGCCCAGATGGAGGTCAGAGATTGAGTAACTTGTCCGTCCAAGTGATGCCGCTGGCAAGCATCAGAACCGACATGTGAACCCGGATTCCAGAGCCCGTGCTGCCTTAGACCCATTTCCCTGAGGGCACGCGGCACAGGGAAGGAGGGAGACTGGGTTTCTCCCACCGGGCAGAGGCCTCTGTGCCCAGGACAGGGGAACTGACATGGGACTCGCCATGTGCCACAGCCAGTGGCTTTCCGAGTACACGTGTGTACGTGTTGCAGACCCAGTGGCTGTACTCTCATGGGTGACTACTTCCTGCTCTGAGACAAAGGGTCCAGAGCACTTCCTGCTCTGAGACAAAGGGCAGCTGCTGGATGAGCAAAGCCCCGAACGCAGCTCCTCTCCAGTGCAGACAGGACTGGAAGGTGCGAAGGCTCCTCAGCCACTGCTCCTGTGTTCAACAGGGCAGCCCACTGCCCGCTAACCCAGGGCCCGGCTGTGAGCGAGGTCAGCAAAGTCAGAGCCTCCTACCCTGATGGAAACCGCCACGGGCCTCATCGGCCATAACCACGTCTGCACATCTGTTTTCTGAAACGAGTGAAGTGTCATTGCATTTCCTTCGAAAGCAAAGAGGACATATGTTTTCACTGCATCAAGTTTCTCACCAAATGAGTCACCAAATGCGGGCTGGGGGAGGGTGGAAACGAGCCTGAGAAATAGCGTGGAAATGTGAATTAATTTCATTTGCATTCAAACTGTGAATGAGTTTCCTTGTTTGTAATAAAGTGAGAGCCAGAAAGGAGCCCTGGGTATCACTGACGTGGTCACATCCTGTGGGAGCGGGCATGTGAGGTCAGGAGGGGAGAGGCCTGTCTGCTCGCGGGGAAGTTCTGGCTGCCTGGGCGCTGCGGCTCTGCGCCTCCCCCCGGGGTGAGGAGCAGAAGGTGCCCTTCCGCGAGGAGGTGACGGGAAACAGACCTGAGTGGTCCTATGGGCTGGGCGATCAACAGCAACCCAAGAGCTTTTTGTAAAGATTGTGGAAATGGATGCGCAGTGAATTTTTTTTTACTTGAAACACTGTAAGCTGGATTCTTTCTGTAAAGGCAGAGTAGTTTCCTCATGAAAAGGCAGCTGCATGCGTGTGCGCGTGCACATGTGCACAAGGTGGAGTAGCAAGGGAAAGGAAAAATAACACACAAAAGCAAAACACAAAGTCAGTGCACAGTGAGATTGTCTGAAACTGATTCTGAGCTGCCCGAATGCAGGAATTGAGTTGTATTTGACTCTGTATCCTTTGTGCCTGGAACACGTTGTATGGGCAATACTTCCAGAAAGCAGTGAAACACTAGTTCTTGATTCTACGCGCATCTTCCCACGTGTGTTTTATTTCAAGTCTTTTATTGGAAGGCGGTATATTTTATCGGTTAATCGCATGGGTTCCAGCGTTGGTTTGCTTGGACTTGAATCCTCAGCTACTAGCTGTTGGTTTTCTCAGTTGTCAGTGGGATTGTGGTCGCAACTGTATGCCCCGTGGCTACAGAGAAAGGAAGGAAGCCATCAAAAGCCTGGCCGGCGTCTCATTCGCAGTGTGGCCGCAGCCTTACGCTCGGGTGGCAGAGGTGTGCCGTATTGAGTGGGTTAATGTATGTACATCCTGTCAACGAAAAGGCATGGAGGCGAGGAAGCAAAGCCACTGAGTGGAGGCCAGGCCATGGCAGCCGCGTTCTCCCCCCAGAACCGGTGCCCGGTGTGAGGGGTGCCCAGGATGGGGTGAGGGTGGTCGGAGCTCCTCATCTCAGGCCTTGCTGCTCCCAAGTGCTGCCACCTCACTGCACGAGTGACATCCACCGATCGAAACTATATTTCAAGAGACCACAAACCAGCCCCGGCACCTGGTGCTCAAGCCAAACAAAGAGTGTTCCCTGCACCCGAGGAAAACGGACTGCTGGGCTCATGGAGGGGTTCCGCGTGCCACCCCTGCGGTGCTTTGGAGCCTGGGCTTGGCCATCTGTGCTCCCCTCGTCCACGCCTCCTGAAACCCCCCATCAGAACTGGGCGCGCCCACAGTCCACGCCGGCAGCGGGCTGGGGCGGTGGCCTGGGGTGAAGTGCAGGAACGGGAGGTGGGGGACGGAGTGGCCCTGGCGCCAGCATCCTGGCCTGTGCATGGACCGAGTTAATGATCAGCCTGGATTCGCCTCCATGCCTCGCTGTCCTGGGCGGCTCCTGCCCCTGGAATGTGCAGAAAGAGCGAGTTTGAAGCTGCCCGCTCGCAGCACCTGCAGGAAAGGGTTAATACAAATGACTAATGTTCTGTGTTGATCGGTGTTGGACGGAAAGTTTGCAGTGACTGTTTCACAAGTCCAGATAGTAAGTGAAAGGCCCTAATTTGTGTTTGCTTGCTTTTCGTTTAGGTAACTACTCCAGACCTCCTACGTATAGTGGGGTGCCCAGTGCAAGCTACAGCGGCCCGGGGCCTGGTGTGGGCATCAATGCCAACAGCCAGATGCACGGGCCAGGGCCAGGCCAGCCGTGCGGTGCTATGCCGCTGGGACGAATGCCATCATCCGGGATGCAGAACAGACCGTTTCCTGGAAACATGAGCAGCATGACCCCCAGCTCTCCTGGCATGGCGCAGCAGGGCGGGCCAGGAATGGGGCCACCGATGCCAACCGTGAACCGTAAGGCACAGGAGGCAGCCGCCGCAGTGATGCAGGCCGCTGCCAACTCCGCACAGAGCAGGTATGCCGTCGGGGCGGCGTTCTGGCGTGCGCGTGCGTGGGGCTGGGCGCCATGGTCCCCGGGCCACACGGGACAGAGCAGTGGCTAGTTCAGGAGAGTAAGTGACAGAGCAGTTCTCTAAGGCACCAGAGGAGGAGCCTGCGTGGTGGGCCAGCCGGTTGTGGGGTGTTATTTGAAATGCCCTGAATGTCACTGAGCAGCCCCCAGAGCCCGGCCGAGGCATGCTGTGGTTCTTGTTAGCAGAGCCAGGTTTGCCAGGAAACCTCAAGCCTGTAAGCTGGTTAAAACCTAAATCATTGAGAAAGAACATCCCCCGTTTGTCCCCGCACCATAAAGTGTTCACGACAAAGAAACTTTGTACACATATGTGCGTTGTGTGTGTTTGTCTAAGTGTGTATGTTTGAGATTCATCCTTCATGTTCTTACGTATTATTTTTCTGGGCAAACCCCTCTATCCAAACCACAATGAGGTTAGTAACGCAAAGATAGTATTTCAGAAAGTTTCACTGGATCCAGGAGGATTTTATCCTCAATTACTTGATTTCAATCCTGATTTTAAAATTCTTGAAGTAAATACTTGACCCGTATAAAAGTAACATTGAATTCAAAAATTTAGAGGCCACAGTGAATGTTTTCAGAGAAGCAGCTGTATGTATGTTTTATGTTTAACTTATGCTAAAATTCAGTTAAAACAGTAAATTGAGCCCAGCTGGCGTGGCTCAGTGGTTGAGCATCGACCTATGAACCATTAGGTCATGGTTCGATTCCTGGTCAGGGCACATGCCTGGGTTGCAGGCTGGATCCCCAGTAGGAGGCGTGCATGAGGGAGCCAATCAGTGATTCTCTCTTATCATTGATGTTTCTATCTCTCTCCCTCTCCCTTCCTCTCTGAAATCAAAAATATATTTTAATTTATTAATTTTTAAAAAGCAAATTGAAAGATATATATGAAAATAGGATTCCTTAAAGAAAAGATAGAAGGTTCTGATTTTTTTTCCCAAGGGAGATAAAAGCGTGCACAAGTACGTGTGTGTGTGTGTGTGTGTGTGTGTGTGTGTGTAATTGTGTTCCTTTGTTACTTTTCCTCTGAAGCTGCTATTTGGGAATGTTAGGGACCCCTCCAGTCTTACTATTTCCTCCAAATAATAAAAAATTTCCCTTGAGTCAAAATGAAAATCACTCCTTCTCTCTCCCCCTCTCCTCCCCCTCTCGCCATCTCTGTCATCCACTCACAGTTAGAACTCCCGTGCGCCAGCAGTACACCTCTAACCCAGACCTGTGCCCATCCAGGGAGGCTTTCGTGAGCCTGTCTGTGAGCACTGGTTTGACTGGTATTTAAGGGGAAAGCACTGATTGGATTGGATGTGAAGCCTTGGCTAGTGATCTGGGAGAAGATGGCCATGGAGATGCCCTGCTCCCTTCCGAGTCAGTTCACCTGTCACTCTGCAGAGAGGCAGGAGTCACTGTCATTTCCCTTCTATTTGCCGTCGGGAGACCATTCCACCGCCTGCCTGAACTCCAAATGGACTGTATTTTTTACCCGAGTCAAAGCTGTACTTCAGAACTGAACCGAGATGAGATCTGAAAATCTTACTCTGTTCTCTCCTTCGTCCTGCCCCCCCCCCCACCATCCCACCCCCGCCTTTTAAGGAAAGTACCCCGTTCCACTCAGGCAGCTGCATGGTAGAGTGTTACACCACATCTGTGGCCCTCCACACCTGTGTGTGGAAGTGACAGGTGGATGGGGTGTTCAGACTGTCGAAGGAACAAATCCAAAGAAGTTGTTCTTCTGTTCTGCTTTAGGCCACCATACATTAGGTCGCCTGCTTATCCCAGCCAGTCTGGGGCTGGCGGACGCCCCCTGTTTTCTTCCCAGCACCCCAACTATGGCAACTCTCAGGCTCCCATGATGCACCAGCCTGACCAGTACGGGTAGGTAGCAACAGACCCTGACTCGCTGGGCCCCTGGGCGATTTTAAACGGTTAATGACGGGCCATCTGGCTGCACAAGTAACTCGCAAAACAGTGAAAGACTCGACGGAAATCCATCTCAGAGGGGCTGTCTTTCTGTTCTTCCTGTTCGTGCTGTTCTGTTTCCATTGCCAGCACTGTGCTGGCTCGGTAGCAGCTGCATGCCGTCCCTGCTCTGTCTGCATGGCTGTCGGCATGGCTTCTTCCCTCGTGCCTGAGACCAATCCACATTTCCTCTGCGGAAAAGTAATGAGATGGCCTGCTCTGGTGTCGTTCCCCCTGTTGTCGTGTGTTGTCAGGTACCTGTGTTGTGTTAACATGACGGTGTTCCTGTCACTCCTGCCACTCACCCACTGCTCCTGCACACCCTCAGCTCAGGGCAGTGGCCGCCTTGGCCAGAGTCCCTGGAAAAATACAACCAGACAATCCTCCACAGAACTTCCTCCCTGAACCGGTGTTGCCGTATTATCAATTACAACACAGGAATTACAGACAGCAACAAAAAGGGTCTCTTTCCTACCAGAAAACTAGTATCAGGCGACACTGTCTTAGGTTAGGGAATGCTTTTACAGTATGTTATTACTGAGTGACTTACAAAGCGATATAATGTAAGATTATCCTACACAGATTAAATCATGTGCACTAGATTGTTTCTGTAGAAACATACCACATTTTTGGTTAAAAAAGGAAACTTTCAACTAGCTTTATTTAAGGACTAAACTCATGCAAATGTGCTTTCACCAGTTAAGAATGCGCGCTGGCGAGCTTTTAAATAGTTTATATTCAGGATACATTTATTTCCACAGCGAGAGCGGATGGTAAGTTTGCAATTGAGAGTTCTAAATCCTGTCAACATGGTCCTAAATGTGGACCAACAAACAGAGAATACTACAAACATGACCCTAAAAATGCAGTAACAGATAGAAGACTGGGTAAACACACATTTGGGGAATTGTCTTTCCCTCTTTTCCTTCCTGTGGCACCTTCAAGGTCATTGCTGGAGCCGGGGGGAAGGCGGCCGTGGGGAGAGAAGAGCATTCGCATCAGCTGCTAATCCATAGGCTCTGTCCTCCCACCTCGGCGGTGCTGTCTGGCCCCACGCAGCTCGCTGCCTGCGCCTTGCCAAGCCACATTAGGCAGCTGTGTGAAATGAATTTAAATGGCAGGCGTCAGCGCAGGCTCCGCGCTGGGGCAGAAAATCATGTGAGCTAACAGCACGTGGAGTGGGGCCTGCGCCCAGCCAGCAGCGTGGCGAGCGTCCTGGAACTGGGGGACGGAGGGGGCTCTGCCGGTCTGCTGGCGGCTGGGGCCCCGCCCCTTAGCTCTGCATCGTGTGTTTCCTGTCCACAGCAGAGACACCGTGTTTTATCTCTGTGTTAAGTCCTCCTCTGCACTTTGCAATGCACACGGCCTCCCGTGCTGTTCTCGGGGCGCAGCGCTTGGCTGTGAGGACCCGTGGGTGCGGTTGGAGCTGTGGGTTCAGGAGTTTGGTGTCCATGTGCCTTTGCGTCCCCAAAGCTCATGCAGCAGACTCCTGCCTGTGCTTTGTCTTTGTTTCCCAAGAAGCCGTCAGGTCAGGGTGATGTGGGCAGTCTGAGGAGCCAGTTCCTGCGTGTCAGTCTGGGAGGAAGGAGGGTCCCGGTTTCTTATGGCGACTCTTTCTCAAGTCAGAATCCAGGGCCAGGAGACGTTCTGCTCAGTGACCGCCATCTGGAGAGCGTGCTGGCGGGGCTGGTCTCCGTCACGGAGTGTGAACAGCATTCCCTCTGCCCTTTCTCAGAGGGGAAAGGAACGGACCTGCGCGGAGGCGGTTACCAGCAGGCAGGGGTTTCCAGTTCAGCTGGAAAGCCACTAAGGCTGTGGTTTGGTGAGGCATCGCACCCATCAGCTGTCCAACAGGGAACAGGCTGTCGGAGGGGAGGGCACGTCCACAGCCAGGGAGGATCGTCCAGAAAGACTGCAGTGCTGGGAGGCATTCCGAAGGGCAGCGAAGGGGAACGAAAGGACCCACTTTTCCGGCTGCTGTTTCCATCCGCCTCCCAGCCTCGCCTCTGGAAGCTCAGAGGCGCCATGCCCAAGCCAGGCGCGTGGTCTCCGAGCCTGTCAGCAGCCCGTGACGCCCCGAGATCCAGCCTCTGTGCACACCGCCACCCAGGGGACACGGTGGCGCCCTCTTGTCATTCATCACCCAGTCCTGTCATCTCCCAATCTCACATAGCCCTTTCCTGCCTGGGTCCCGGCACCGTCCTGCTCCCTAGACTGTCAGAGCCACACAGCCCATCAACCCTGCATCCCTCCTCCCGCCCGGCGTCCTCCCATCCAGTCACAGAGCGAACAGCGCCTTTGAAATGCACATTCCTTCTCGCCCTTTCTCCTGCTCACACACTTCTAGTCTCTTATGGTGCAGACCAAACCTACGAAACCCCGGCATTGCGTGACGTGGCCCTCCTGTCCTCCCCATCTGTGGGCTCCCCGCGGGCCCCTGGGTGGGCCCCGAGGGTCTCGCATGCCTTCCTCGGGGGGCTCCCCAGCACCTGCAAGACCCTGACCCACAGCAGGGCCTGGTGCCACTCTCCAAGCAGCTCAGTGAGCTAGGTTGTTTGGGTGACTGCTGTGCCCCTTGCCCTCCCTCCCTCCACTGTCCTAAACACCCATCTTGGACAAATGATGGGAACTGTCAGCGCGATAGGAGGTGTCACTGATGGAGCTAGCTATTTCCAGCTCGTCTCCGAGGGAAGGTGTGATGGTGGTTTAATAGCACGTGGCTGTTTGTTTTCATAGGACTGGACAGCCAGGACCCACAGCATCCTGTTCTCGGCCTTTGGTTGGTGACAGGAAGCAGGTGCCTTTGGGGTGAATTCCCTGCACAACACGGGGGGCAGAGGTGCCAAGATCGCTTTGCCGCCGGCGCCACGAGCGCCTGTTCACTGGCTGCCGGGCGGGCAGCACGGGGAGGGGCGCCGGGGCGGCTTCTCTTCTGTCGCTGTGCTGTTTGGAGCCTTAGGGAGTGCTTTTCCCTGTTTAGATATTGGATTAAAAATAGCCAGGTACCACTTAGGAAGAGTCAGGGGATGGTGAGGGGAAGCCTGTCTCACCAGCGGCCGGGCACAGTGACGTGGTTTGTGTTGGTAGAGGGGTAGGTGGGGCTGTGGTGGCGAGGACAGCGCTGACTCCAAGAACAGCGGCTGGGGGGTTTTTCCGTTGGAACTCCCTGGTCTGGGAGCCCTCAGGTCTGAGTGGAGGAGGGCCCCAAAGGCCGTGCTTGCCTGGCTCAAACCGCATCGCTGGGGACAGTCACATGGACAGCAGCCATGTCGCAGTCATGCCCCTTCTCCCGAGCAGACGCCGTCTCTGTCCATGTTTCCTGTGGCTGTCCTAGAACGCTTCGGAGTGAAACCTCTCTCCATGTGTCTGCCTCTGGATGTAAATAAAGTGGCTGCACTCCTGCTGTCCCTGCTCTTCTCCAAGGAGCTGTGCCAGAATCCGGTCATTTCCAGGAGAGTTCTCGCTTCCCGGTGTCACCGCTGGAGAGGCTGGTGATGCTGAGACGATGTGGCCTGCACGCTTCCTTGAAAGCACCACAGTCATGTGCAGCCTATTGAGTTCACATTTGATTCTAATCAACTTAAAAACAAGATATTTAGCCTAGCTGGTTTGGCTCAGTGGGTAGAGCATCAGCCTGTGGACTGAAGGGTCCTGGGTTCGATTCCAGTCAGGGCAAATGCCTGGTTTGCAGGCTCAGCCCCCAGTAGGGGCATGCAGGAGGCAGCCCATGATTCTCATTGATGTTTCTATCTCTCAGCCTCTCCCTTTCTCTCTGAACTCAATAAGAATATATCTTTAAAAAACAAGATATTTAGATGGGTTTCACTTACTGTTTTCCGCTTCCGAATTCAGGCCCCAGTGGGAAGCAGTATTTGCCTCCTAGTGGACCACTGGCAACGGTCTCTTTAAAACGTATCTGCCTCTGGCTTTTCCCCAGATCAGGCCTTTGTTGGCAGATGAGCGTGTGATGTTTGAGAACTCTCCAAAGAGGCTGAGGGAAACCTGGGAAAGATTACTGGTGCGTGTGGGCTGAGGAGAGGACGCGGGGCACTTCCAGGAAGTGCATCTGCAGCCCACGGCCTCGTCACCTGGTTTGTCCTTGGATGACAGCTCTTCAACCCTAGCATCTCATCCCCCCGAAAGCCCATGTAAACGCAGTGTGGCTATCCTGCAGGTCTGCGTGTTCAAATGACAGCCCCCATGCCACACGTGGACGTGGACAGGTAGAGGGGGGCCTGGCTGTGTGGGCACCAGCTGCCGTGAGCACAGGCCCGTGGTCAGCACCTGTGGTTTGTGAGCACCGCCCAGCAGTCCTGTCCACAGCGCGCAGCCCAGTACCCGCCTTTGACATAATCCCCACAAAACGTTATTTCTCACCGTTTAACAAATCCCCTCCCGGGCATTTTGGGCGTCCGCTGCAGATTAGGATCTGTGGCATCAGGCAGCAGCAATTGGGACAAAACCTGTCTGTTCCCATCGACTCTGGAAGCAGCCCAGTGGTTCCCAAGCCCAGAGTCCAGGGTTGGGTTTGACAGGGAGTATTTCCCTTGTCTCAGCGTGTATCTTTGCCTGGTTAGGTGTGTTTTGCCTGCTCCTTTTTCCTTTGCATAGAGAAAGCGTCTGGTGAGTGCCTTCTTCGCCCGCACTCTGATTGGACACTCGGACTGAAAATAGCTACACTAAGAGAATAGCACATTGTTTTTCATTAATGACTTCTGGACACCTTTTAAAAGATATCTTTAAAATATTTTCATTATTATACATTAAGAGCCAATAAACAATGGTTTACTGGAGGTGGAGGGGGTAGAAATCATCATTTATTTGGAACAGACAGGCAAAGCAGGTTTTTCCTTTCCTGTTAGCTTTACTTCTAAGAGTAAATATTAATGGCCAAAATTTTTAAAGGTACCGTATAAAGAAAAGCTTGACTACAATGTGGAGTCTTTTAAAGATTTTGACACAGGGAGAACTGTGGAAATTCCTGGAGAATGTAAACACCATAGAGGAGAAACCAAGATGGTGGCATAGGTAAATACCTAAACTGCTGCCTCACACAACAATTTCAAAACTACAACTAAAAGACAAAACAGACATCATCCAGAACCATAGGAAGTCTGGCTGAGTGGAAATTCTACAACTAGAAGGAAAGAGAAAAGTACACTGAGACTCAGAGGAGTTGCACAAGGCAGAGGTACAGAGGTTCGTGCACAGAGAGGGCTGGCAACTGAGTATGAGGCTGGCTTTCTCAATCGGGAGGAAGACAAAAGCTCCTAACTGCTCTGAACCCCAGTTCCGAGCGACACTCTTGGGACCCAGACTCATTTGGGGAGAAACTGGACTGTCTGGCAGTGGGCAAAACTAAATGGCAGCTTTCTCTCATAGGTGTTTACAGCAATTACCACAGGACAATGAGACCCAGGGCCTCTTACAGCAGGGCTGATGGGAAGCCATTGCTGCCTGCTCTTGACTCCGCCCCATCCAAGTTGAGCCCCATCCTTATGAGGCTTTTGCAAGTCTTGCCTCATAAGGGTGTCTCCAGCACAGAAGTTCTCCCAGCGTAGACAGAGCTGATCCTCACAGCCAATTGGCCTGGAGGTCAATTCCTCCCAGTGATACCAACAACAATCAAGACTTAACTACAAGACTGTGCACACAGCCCACAAAGGGGTGCACCAAGAATGTCCACCTCAGGTAACTGGGGAGGCTGAGCCACTGGGCCCTATAGGTCACCTAGCACACAAAGCCACCCTATCAACACAGGGAAGCAGCCAAAATGTGGAGACAAAGAAACAGGTCACAAAGAAAGAAATGGAGGAAAGCAAATGACTGGATATAGAGTTCAAAACCACAGTTATAAAATTTTTCAAGAATTTTCTAGAAAAGGCTGATAAATTTAGCGAGACCCTGGAGGATATGAAAAGGACCAACTAGAAATGAAGCATACACTGACTGAAATGAAAAATAACATTCAGAGATCCAAGAGTAGACTAAAGGAACGCAAGAATCAAGTCAAAGATTTGAAATACAAAGAAGCAAAAAATACCCAACCGGAAAAGAAAAAAGAACCCAGAATTATGAAGGTAGTGTAAGGAAACTCTGGGACAGTTACAAGCGTACCAACATCAGAATTATGGGGGTGCCAGAAAAATAGAGAGAGCAAGATACTGAAAATCTATTTAAAGAAATAATGAGAGAAAACTTCCCCCATCTGGTGAAAGAAATAGATTTACAAGTCCAGGAAGCTCACAGAACCCCAAACAAAAGGAATCCAAAGAGGACCACACATCATAATTAAAATGCCAAGAGCAAAAGACAATGAAATAACATTAAAAGCAGCAAGAGAAAAACAATAAATTGCCTACAAAGGAGCACCCAGATGATTGTTAGCTCATTTCTCAAGAGAAACTATGCAAGCCAGACAGGAGTAACAAGAAATATTCAAAGTGATGAATATCAAGAACCTACAACCAAGATTACTCTACCCAGCAAAGTTATCATTCAGAATGGAAGGTCAGATAAAGAGCTTCACCACCAAACCAGTATTATATGAAATGCTGAAAGATTTAAGAAGTGGAAGTGGAAGAAGAAAAAGGTAAAAATAAAAATTATGAACAACAAATATATATGAAACAAGTGAATCTAAAAATCAAGTGAAATAAAAATCTGATGAACAGAATAAACTGGTGAATATAATAGAATCAGGGACATAGAAAGGGAGTGGACTGATGATTCTCAGGGGAAAAGGAGTGTGAGGGGTGCAGGAAGAGACTGGACAAAAATCGTACACCTATGGATGAGGACATTTGGCGAGTGGGGTAAGGGCAGAGGGTGGAGTGGGAACCAGGTGGAAGGGAGCTGTGGGAGGGGGGAGGGACAATTGTAATATTCTGAACAATGAAGATTTAATTTTAAAAATAAAAAAAACCACAAACCAGAAGAAGAAGAAAAAAGATTTTGCCACATTGCCTTCATCTTTGCAGTAATTTCCCTGGGAAAATTAAACCATCTTGCTGCTAAAACCCTCCTCTCCCTTGCTCCCCCAACCCCATTACCTGTAGTTAGAGAAGTGACATTCGCCTCCTTTGATCAAACAGTGTCCCTTTGCACTTTGCAGGAGTGAAGAGATGTGTCTCAGAGTGTAGACACAAAACTAAGTTACCAAAAGATAATTTCATGAATCCATGTGCGGAAGGGTGGCCTCAGGACTGGAGCCTGGGAGGGACATGGACTGGAGCCTGGTATTTCCTGCTGCTGGAACTCGGGGGACGAGGGAGTCAGCATTCACTGTGGCTCTGATACAGGAGCCTGGTGTGTGGCTCACAGCCCCGGGCTTCAGAATGTCAAAGAGGAGGGTGGAAGAGATTTTGGAAATGCTCCCTCTGATAGTCAGTAGATCAGAAATTTTAGGTCAAGGGATTTTTTTTTTTAATAACCCTCCCACCCTGCACATCTGTTTTGCATTTCTTTTCCAGTTTTTGATGGGAGGATATTAAGTAATGTTCATAAAGAGTCAGCTCTTTTCAAATGGTAGTTAATTTTACTTGCTTTTGTAATTCCTGTTATTATTTCAAGTTTCCCCTTTCTTGCTTCTATAACCCCTATATAAATCTTGACAAGCTTAAAATGTAGAATTTATTTGTGAAGTTTATATGATTTGGAATCTTAGGCAATCCATTAAATAACTACTTAGCAATAGAGTTCAGCCTCTCTCCAGAAAATACATGAGTTTAAGCCAACATGAAACACACCAGCCCGCCCCTCGCATAGGTGCCCCCTGAGAAGTGGCCCCCGGGGCCCGCGCTGCCCGTGCGCGCTCAGCATACACACGCGTGTGCTCTCTCTCCCCACAGGCAGGGCAGCTTCCCGGGTATGAACCAGAGCGGCCTCATGGCTTCCAGCTCTCCCTACAGCCAGCCCATGAACAACAGCTCGGCGCTGATGAACACGCAGGCATCGGCCTACAGCATGACGCCCAACATGGTCAACAGCTCCACAGGTAACCCTGGCGCCAGCCTAAGGCTGCCATCCCCCCTCTCACCCGAGGCCGCCCCCCTGCTAGGCCCGCTCCCGCCTCCCCTACTGTGAAGTGGGGGAAACACCGCTTTCTGCCTCTTGGAAACCTGCTCCGTCTACTTGACAGTTTGAGGATGTGAGGATTGCATGTCCTGTGAATTATGTGGGCACAGTTCAGTGTCATTGGAGAGTACTTGCACTCAGGTCTTTGGGGGCCACCCTGGGGGTATCGGCGGCCACACGGTGTCCTCACTGGATGGGCGGAGGCAGATGTGAGCATCCTGCTTCAGAGGAGATGACGGGGCAGAGGGTCCCCTTTCCTTCGGGAAGCTCACCTTAAATGTCTGCACAGGAGAGTGCTCTTTGCAGATTGTTGAGAACTTAGATACGTGGTTAGAGCTGGCTTAGTATTTTCAGTATGCTTACATTTTCCAACCCACTTTATGGCCTCAGCGGCTTTTTCAGCAAATCCCATCTGATCGGTGCGGGAAGCAGATCTCGAAATGGCTAGAATGCCCAAGCCTGGGCAGGTACCCTGTCCTCAGCCTCCTCCAGCCCGGATCACCCTTCAGGACCCCTGCTCCCCCCGCGAGCCGGGTGCCGAGAAAACTCCATGTAGCTCACAGCCGGTTTGGTTCTCCCCGGGGAGCAAGGGCCGCCCTGGGGGTGGGAGCCGCCTGGAGCGATGAGGCTGCAGTGGCGGTCGGGCCCAGTGCTCCCGGTGTGCCAGAGAGCACCGTGGAACCAGAGGTGCCCCCATGACCACCTGTACCTGCTGCTGCTCTGGCTGGTGAGCGCAGCACTGGGCTGCCTGCTGCCCATCCTGCCGGCGCCAGCCTGGTGTTCGGGCCTTCTCCTGATTGCTCCCCTTTGAACGGTTCGGAATAGGACGCAGTAGGAACTGAGGTGAATGGGAAAGTTTGTACATAAACAGAATAGGCCTTCTGGGGCGGGGCCAGGCCGTCCTTCACCCCTGAGATGGGGCTTTCACGTCCGCGGTGACCAGGGCACAGCTCTGAGCAGCCTGTTAGCTAGAAGCTTCCCCACTGTCCCAGGTAATGGGACTCCGGGTTGTGGCATTATGGGTTTTGTCTGGCTTGCTGAAATAAAATTACCTCAGAGCATTGAATCTACACAATAAATTCTCACCTACTATTAGCAATCCTCATTTTTGCCTTTTTTTTTTTTGGACTCCAGGGCCACAAAAATAACCAACAACAAGCAGATGGCACCGGGGCCTGCCCGGGAAGATTTATGTATTCCTAAGGAATAACCAATTTCACGGAGATTCACAGAGAGGGGTTTTTACACTATTCAGATAATTCAGTTGTTTGTTATTTCATACAAAGGTAATCTGTTCCAAGAAAGGCCACTTATCCTCACAGGCTTTCATACAGACTAGTAGTATATGTACTTTTTATTGCATTGTGCATTTTGAAATATTGAATTTTTAATAATTTAAACATTCATCAAAATTTTTTACACATTTATGTGATTTTATTTCTGCTTTATTAAGTCAAATGCTACCTGATAGAAAGTAATAATACCGCACATCTGAGGAATAGTGACGATTCAGCGTTTGCTGGCATGTGGTGAGGGCCCGCATGTCTGCAGGGCTGTGGGGCTGGCTCCGGGGGAGTGGACGGCAGGCCCAGGGCAGGGAGCTCCTGCAGAGCATTTGGTCTGAAGGTGCTCACTCAGCTTTCCTAGAGATGGGCCGGCATGGCCAGGCAGGGCAGTGGGCATGGGCAATGGCTGATTTCCTGGGAGGGATGCTGGCTCACATGCCGGGTTTGCTCAGGCTGATGGTCCCGTGGCTCGCTCAGGTGGGAGAGGGCTGGGGTGGGCATGGTGGGTCCTGCCTCTCAGCTCATGGGCACCCCTCAGCCCATATGGAGGAGCATTAGCATCAGGGGTCCTCGGAGTGCCCAGGCCATGCTGAGCTAGATAGAGGCGTGTGCTCTCCTCAGACACTCTGTGTGTGTTGTCAATAGTGTTCTTTATATAGCGGCTACATGTAAAAACAAATATTACAGGAGTGTGCACATGCTACGTACGCCCTTCTGGTTTTCAAAGCCGAGGAACAAAACGTTTTGCAGAGTACACTGTGTTGTTCACCACGAAAAGAAAGAAGTGGGTGCATTTTGGCCCTGCTTTCTCTGGGAGTGTTGTGCAGCCTTGGAGGGAGACTGAGGAAGGAAGCGGGAGAGCAGGAGTGAACGTTGCAGTCACTTTTGCTCACGCGACGTGTTCTCTGTGCTTTTGAATATGTTGAGTCCCGGGGAGACAGCTGCCGGGGGTCTTGCCCGCTGACTAAGTCATTCTGGTTCTTCTCTCGCTGGCGAAGCCGGAGGGGAGCGGTGCGGGGTCTACAGACTCTGCTCCCGCACCGGGTCCCCTGCTGCCCTTGGGGGCGGGGAGGGGGGCCGGGCTGGTTTAACACGTGCCTGTGGAGGTGGTCTCTCCTCAGAAAGGGAGAGGGGGCTTTGTGCACGATTCCCTGAGAATTCTGCTACGAAGTCAAATTAAGCATTTCGCCAAGAGGATGGAAAAGCCATGTAAAAAAGACCTGGAGAGATAAAATGTACTCTGTGAGGCAGGAGCACTAAACAGAACTATTGCTCTAAGTCCTTCTGTGCCTCAAAGTAATAAAGCAACACAATCTTTGACAGTTTCCATATTTGTGTATCCTAAATGCCCGTTTTAAAATATATAATATTTTTTCTATTTTAAGTGAAGACGTTTGGAGAATTTCAAATCAATATATATGCTTATATTCGTCTAAGACTGATTTTTAAATCAGTGTAAGTCATTATCACTAATTGTCATAATACATAGTGAGCTAGTTCCTTACGCTTCCCCATGCTTCCGTGTACATGTACACATTTAATGCATGAAGAAGGATATTACTACTTTTTAGTTTTTTTTTAATATTTCACATAATGTGTTACAAGGGCTGACAGGACTGCCGTAGCCATTGGAGAAGCAGGGCCTGGCTGTCCCGCGTGGCCATGACGTGGCCCCTTCCTCGGGAACTGTGTGCTGTCGCTCCTTTGGGCCCGCTCTGTGAATAGCTGGCAAGGACGGGGACTCGCATACATAACCCCTCTTCCCACACTCGCCCTGCTTCCCCCTCCATTCTCTGAAGGGTCTTACTCAATGCACAGATTTGCCAGCTCCCATCCTGCCAGACCCCAGAGGTGAGGCCGCCCGGGACAGCGAGGCCACCTCTCCGTGTAATCTCTCTCAGCTGCTGCTTGGAGGTTTCACACATTCACAAAAATAACCGCGTTTTTAGCTGATCCCAATAGATTCTTCTCTGCAGCTGCATCACTTGAAAAAGCTTTTTGTTCCAGTTCTTAAAGTCTAAGCATTGAAAGTAATTTGGGAAAAAAGAAAGAAAAACGTCCCAATTATGATTTGTGTGTGTGATGACGACTCCGGGCTGGGGGCTGCACGTGGGCTTTGAAAAGCCAGCAGGAGCGGCCTCGGCGGGCACCGTGGAGGCCCCTGGGAGCTGGCCGGCTCGTGGCAGGGTGGGCTCTTTTGGCAGGACCTCTGGTGCCAACCTGCAGTGATGCTAACGATATTAGCAAATGAGCTGCACGAAGCGTGCCAGCTGATTCGCCAGAGCCCTGCTCTCCTCTCTCTGCTGTAATTAAAACTAATTATTTTCTAAAACATAGTAATATACGAATGTGTGCGGTAATGGCTTTGTAGTGGGCAATCTGGAGCCTTTGCGGCAGCTTCCTTTCTCTTTGTGCCGTTTGGCACAGCGCACTTGGCGGGCACTCGGCCTGGAGCCCGCCCGCTCGCAGGATGTGGAGGGGCCCGTCCAGGAACCTCCAGGCTTAGCTCGCTGTGGAATAGCACTGTTCCTGGTCTTCGCTCGCTTCTCAGGCTCCCAGTGCTCTCCCTCTCCTCCGCCTCCCTCTCCTCCGACCCCTCGCACGTGTGTGTGTGTGTGTGTGTGTGTGTGTGTGTGTGTGTATGTGGGGGTGTGTATGTGGGGGGGTATGTGGGGGTGTGTGTGTGTATGTGTGTGTGTATGTGTGTGGGGGGTGTGGGGGTGTATGTGGGTGTGTGTGGGGGGTATGTGGGTGTGTGTGTGTATGTGTGTGGGGGGTGTGGGGGTGTATGTGGGTGTGTGGGGGGGGGTATGTGGGTGTGTGTCTATGTGGGTGTGTGTGTATGTGGGTGGGTGTGTGTGTATGTGTGTGGGGTGTATGTGGGTGTGGGGGGGGGTGTATGTGGGTGTGTGTGTGTATGTGGGGGTGTGTATGTGGGGGGGTATGTGGGGGGGGGGTGTGGGGGGGGGGTGTCTGTGGCACCTGCAGCCGTGCTGTGCAGATGGCCTCACAGTGGGCCCTGCAGGAGCTCAGCTGTCACTCTGGTGCCTACACTCACTCCCACTGTGGCCTCGCTCTTCCTTCAAAGAGAAAGTCAAACTCTTTTTCACTTGAAAATGTCTGTTTACAATAATGTATGTAAATCAGTTACTCTTTGGTAACCTTTCATCCTAAAGCACGGATGGATTTGATTGAATTGGGAGCCAGGAAAGAGAGCAGGAGTTTTCCTGGATCAGCAGGTTGGCCTGGAGTGTGTGGGTGTCGGCCCTGGTGTCTGAGCTCTGCCCAGGCCTGCTAGGTGTGCGCGATGCACCGGGCTGGGAGGAAACCAGCCCGTGCAAAATAATTAGATTCTTTGCTTCGAAACTTACTACTTTTGGTCATTGTCTTTGAAGTCATCTCTTACGATTGTCTTCCATTATAGATTAGGCCACGTGCAATAGATGAATACCGTATTTTTCCAGTGTATAAGACGACCCCCTAATTTTACAGTTAAAACATAGGTTTAGGCCTATATTCTCTGTATAAGACTACCCCCCACTTCAAAGAAAAGACTTACTTTGCCGTCAAGATCTGCAGTTAATTTTTGTGCAATTTTGGTCTTTTGCCCCCTATTTTCGCTTGACTTTTTTTTTGTTTCAAAAGTCGTCTTCTACGCCGGAAAATACGGTAAGCTTTTCAAATGAAACATTACAATATGCCAAATGATTTGGCACTTATAGACTCTGTGAATTTAGGAAATGAAGGAAGCACTAAATCCTCTAGTCTCCAGGTAAAAAACATACACAACCAGCATTTACTTTCAACACCTGATGAGCAACTTAAAGACTGGCCTTATTAAATAATATTGCTGTACGTTGACTTTCGGTGCTTTGGATCTTGAGTAAATGATTGCTTTTTTTTTTTTTTTTTTTTTTTATGAAGGATTGCCAGAATATCATGCTATTTAGATTTCAGAAATTACAGTTTGCTCTGAGTTACGGTTTCCTTTCCCCTTTCCTTCCTTAAAGGGACAGGCCGGTGCCCCGTGCATCACGCAGTGACTTGAGGATTCACACGTATAATCCTAAACTCTCTCTCCTGTTTTCGATTAGCATCTATGGGTCTTGCAGATATGATGTCTCCTGGCGAGTCCAAGCTGCCCCTGCCTCTCAAAGCCGACGGGAAGGAAGAAGGCGCTCCGCAGCCCGAGAGCAAGGCGAAGGTACTCCCTCTCTGCACGGGGCTGCCTCTAACCTGCACGTCCGCGTCGCTGGTGCTGCCACACCGCTTCCGTCTGCTCTCTGCATGCTTCACTGTGCACATGTCTGAGCCTCTCTCCCCCCACCCGTCACGGCGTGGATCTGAAAGTTACTAGTTCTACGGCATTAACTCACGGCTGGGGGCGGGGGCGGCGGGACAGGACCCCCAAGAGAAGTGCTCTGGGGTGGGGAGAAGGAAGACCTTGCCTGGTTTTGATTCTTGCAGCCATTTTCTCTGCCTTCAGTTTATAGCTTCCTGTTGTGGCCGCCTCAGCAACAGCAACATGTTTAATATTTTGCTTTCCTGCCTTATTTGATAAATAAGGTGAACAGCTTTTCTTTCCCTTCTTTCTCTCATACGGGGTAACCCAGGCTTAACATTCCATGTGAGCGTGAAGTGAGCATGGGGGCTTATGGCCGTATCCAGCATCCGCAAACTCACCGAATTGTACTAATGAAGAATGTTGTTTTAATACCGTCTATGTATGTGTCTGTGTGTCCGTGTGTGCGTCTCTATGTAAATATGAAAGTTCGTCTGTTAAACTGGATGTACTTTTTGTTGTTTTAAATAAAGTTTGCCCTATCTTTGTCTTTTTTTTTCTTTTTCTTTTTTTTATTCCTCTACCACAGGATAGCTACAGCTCTCAGGGTATTTCTCAACCCCCCACCCCCGGCAACCTGCCAGTCCCCTCCCCAATGTCCCCCAGCTCTGCTAGCATCTCCTCATTTCATGGAGATGAGAGCGATAGCATTAGCAGCCCGGGCTGGCCCAAGACTCCATCAAGCCCTGTAAGTGGCTCTGCTTTTTTGTTTTTTGTTGTTGTTTTTTTTTTCGGGGTTTTGGATAATTAAGTAATTCTGTTTTAATGCTTGCTTATTTGCTTGTTTTATAAGACTTTTTCTTTAATAATTTATCCATAAAAGGGGGTTCTTTATAATTGTACTAGTAACAACTGAGCAAAATTGATGTGCATCATAGCATTTGATCAAGGTTGTGTGAGGGGTCCAAGCCTCTCCATGGTGACCGATCCAATGCCGCGCACTTGGCGCGGTTAAAATGAGTTTCTCCTCGTCTGCGTGGAACTGCGAGCAGCCGTGGAGTAAATGGCAAGTTTGTTGTATCTGAAACATCTTACTTCAAAACTGCCTGCCTAAAAATAGAAGCATTAGCTCGGCATGGCTCATGTCAGCCCGGTCCCGCCCCGTGGCCTCAGCAGGGAAGTGGTCCGAGTGCTCTGCACGGACCTTGGACCGCCTCTTGGATGACTGCTGTGCCTGCACTAGAATCGCTGAGATGACAACTTAGACCTGCCCAAGACTGCTGATAGTCCTAACACTAGGCGTTGGTTTCCATGTGATGCACAAAAAACAAAAGCGATAACGTATATGTAAGGGGATTTTTAGCCTTTATGGTCTTGTGCCCATTGAGTCTTTTTCCTTCTAAAGAAATTAATTCTGTGCCATTAAAAAAGGAAGAATGGCACTATGGTAACCTTTATTTTACATTCGTATAAGGACTCAAAAGATCTTCTTTTAAAAGCTTTAACTTGCAATTACTCGCCAGGAAGGCTTGATTAACCCGCTAATTTTTGTAAGCGGGTGGGTTGGAGAGCACAGCTCAGTCCAGAGAGGGAGGGGCTCCCGGGGCCTGGCAGCCTGGTCAGCACCCACAGGAGGCTCTGCTCCCCGCCACTCGCTGCTTCACGCGGACGGACAGGCGGGGGTTGAAGAGTTGGTTCAGCAGATGCTTGTGGAGTTCACCCGGAGCTCCGGCTAACCAGCGTTCCCTTTGCAGAGGAGGGAGGGGTCGATGTTCGCTGTGACCTTCTCTGTAGACAACCAGGATGAAGGAGGAATGGGGTGGGGGGCTAGGGGGCTGCTGGACAGGGCCAAAGGGCGGGAGGGTGCTGGCTTTGAGTCTCAGAAGGCAGCCCACATGGAGGGTGTTTCCCCCTCATCGACCCTGGGCTTTGTTTGTTTGTTTTAATCATAAGAAAAGTATTTTTGGCTCAGTAATACTCTCAAGTTAACAGGTAGAATTCAAATTAAAACTTTCCCAAATTATTTGCATGTTGGTTCAGAGGGGAAATTTTTAGAGACTGAAAACCTTTAAAACCTTAAGATAATAAATAGCTAAGACCAATAATTGATTAAAAACAAAGACTACCGATAGACTATATTTAAAAATCCCACCTTGTTGATTTCTGAACTATAAAGAAGGGTTGAGGTATTTATTGTATTCTTAACTTAAAAGTTCCGTATGTTCACTTTCTACATGAATATAAGGAAAAAAGCAAACTAATGTTAGCCTAGTTTCCCAATTATAATGCATCGTGCTTAAAATTGCATATCACTTTCCTCTTTTTCCTAAATATTTCATGTACATTATCTCTTCCTGTGCCATCACCACTTTGAGAATTCACAAGCCGCTCCTGGCTCGGGCTCAGAGATGAGGAGAGGCTGCGGGGGGGGGGGGGGGGGGGGGGGAGATGACCGCTGTGGGGAGGAAGCCCTTTCCTGAGGGAGGCGCTCATCCAGGAAAGACCGAGGAGCTTGAAATGAAGGGCCCAGTCTGCCTGCGCCGGCACATCCCGCTGAGTGTGCGGTTAGGACGTTCTGCTCTGTCCCGGAGACGTGGCTGTGCCTAGCGTTGCTCTCACCAGGGCCCTGGTGAAGTCCGTCTGGTAGCAGGCCCTGCGCGGATGGAACGGTAAAAATGTCTGTGCTTTGACAGAGTGAGACCAAAAGCCAGGCCACAGCCGGCCTCTGAGCAGACTGGTCTGCGGGCCTCGGGGTGAAGTCTGTCCTCTTTGCTGAGGCTTGTTTCTCTGTCCTTTCTGTCCGGACACCCAAACTCTCGCTCTGGAAGCAGAGCCCGAGGCCGGAGAGGGGATGCTGGGCGTGGGCACCGTCCCGTCTCAGCTTCCAGTCTTATTAGGTAGTGTCCAATTCCCGGAGCACCTGGCTCACAAAACCCGGTTTTGGAATGTTTTAATCAGCTGTTGATTCTTATCCTGGTGGTGCCAGACTTTCTAGACCTTTATTACCACGTGAGTCTCCACTCAAAGCTGTGCCCCGTGCCCTCTGGTTCGGTCCCAGCGGTGCCTCCGGGTCAGCAGACCCTCCTGTGGACCTTCGTGTCCAGTGGGAGAGGAGAGGCAGACGGTGCTCCGTGCACAGGGTGTCACCAGGCGCTGCCAAGGGCAGACAGAGCTGCAGTGAGGGCAGCCACAGGGTCGTCCTGGCACCTGGCCTGCCCACTAGTTTTTTAATCCTCACCTAACAATATTTTCCTGTTGCTTTCAAGAGGGGGAGAGACAGAGAAACATCGATGTGAGAGAACAGGCTGATTGGTTGCCTCCTGCACACGCCCTCACCAGGGCCCTGGCCAGCGAGGAGCCTGCTACTAGGTACATCCCCTTGACTGGAATCAAAGCCAGGACCCTTCATTCAGTTCGCAGGCTGACACTCTATCCACTGAACCAACCTGGCTCGGGCTAGCTTTTCATTCAGATGCATTATGGCACCATGAAAATGTTTTTCTGAAGCTTTAAAATCTATGAAAATAATTTGATTAAGAATTACGCTCTTCAGTATATTTTTCTAATTTTAAGAGAACAAATTGAGATATGCAGGCATGAAACAAGTTTACTTAAAGCAGTGTAAGGACAGTTAAAATATGCATCGTCAAGCTACTTCAGGCCTGTCTCTGGTCAGGATGACCCACTCCTGTCACTGCCCGGGTCCTGAGTGGCTTCTCCCGGGCAGAGGAGCAGCCAGAACGGCAGTTCAGTCTTAGATCCAGGGTGTGCAGAGCTACTTTCACATCAAAAGATGGCTTTTATTTCTCTTTCCCTGAATCGAATCTGATGAAGTGCAAGAGGGAGGTTGGTTCTATGTTAATTGGTTTTAGGTGAGAATGCTTTTCCTCGCGTCCTTATTTCAAATTATCTTTTATTTTAAACCACTGGCTCTGAGTTTTTAGAGTATTTCCCAAAAATCAAAAGACTTGGACAGAGGATTTCGAACCCTCCGACACCTGCCCCGTTGGTGACAGCTCCCGGGTGCCATAGAGAAAGCGGCATCGAACGTCAGCGTGTTCCTGGCCAAACACTCCTTGGCTAGAAGAGCAGGAATACCGTTTAAAGACACAGTGTCCAGCGCGTGTGCTCCACAGCGTAGTGTGTACAAGGGCTTGCAGACAGACCAGGGACGTGTGCATCCAGTTGTCAGCACTTCTCGATAGTGATTTTAAGTGGCTGGCTGTTTAGCTTCAGCATCAATGTAAATTCTAAAAGATCACTGTTTTTTCCTGCCACTCACATGTTTTTTTTTTTATTTACATCGATTCTGTCATCCGCTTCTGCATATTTGATGTTAAGATTTTGTTCCTCAATAATTCTAAAGCTGGAGGCTTACAATTTCAGTGAAAACAGCCTGTTAAAGGTTTTCTTCTCCAACGCCCTTGCTCAGGTCCTCCTCTTATTGAGGGCCATGTTGCTAAGCAAGGTCACATCAAACCTCAATGTTACTCCACCCCACAGGTTAGGATGTGTGTGAAATTACGTTAGGCTAAGTGTCATGCAGAAGAGTCAAATCATCTAAACAATGACTCTATGTTGCAAATAACAACCTAGTGAACAGGAATAAATGAAGTCAGTTACTATTCCAAAGAGATCTTTATAGGGAAGTTAGAAGTGATTTTGTACAACAACCCCCAGAGTTGCAAATACTACAAGTACATGAATATTGTTACAAATATAGACATAAAGGGAAGGGAATAATGTTACAGATATAGAGACATAAAAGGAAGGGAATATTACAAATATGGAGACATGCAGGGAACTGTTGGGCTGTTTAGGACTAAAGTACCCCTTCCCCAGGTCAGGGATCTGATGGCAGCTTCTGGTGTGCAGAAAGGGCAGCTTTCAACATGTCCGTATCCAGTATAGTTAGAAATTCTCAATTATGGACTGAGAATTAGAGCATCGGCTGAACCACATGGGCATTAAGCATATGTGGATAAAAGTAGGCAAGTATTTACCTATAGGTTTGCCGGGATAGGAACTAGCACGTGTGTGTGATTAAGGCCTGGCTACCAAAGGCATTAACCACCTTCACCACGGCAGAGAAGTTCAAGCACCTTCGGGGGTGGGGGGGGGGGGGCAGCTGGTCACGTGAGGCGTGCGGGGCCTCAGCCAGGAGCCTGAGGAGCTGTGACCTGTGACCTACCTTTATTTCCCACAAGTTCCCGTGTTTGCTCTTCCTCCATAGTTTTAATGAAGACACACATTAGCCATTCTTATTTTGACAAGGAAAGTGGCGCTCATGTAGTTTTGGGGACATTTTTTAAATGCCGCGGGACACGGGAAAATTTGTTAGAAATCGGGACAGTCCCGCCAAAAGCGGGACGATCTGGTCACCTTACTCTAAATCCATGTGAAATTTAAATTCATCGTGATCGTTCTGTGAGTTAACACCCTCTTATTTTTAAAAATGACGATGTTGTCATTAGAATCTTGCCTTCTGGGATTCAACGCTTATATCAGTAAAGTAAAAGAGGTTTTTTTTAAGTATATTGGGGGGGGGAGGGGTTCGGGCCTTTATTTAAAATCAAAGTAAATTCTTCATTAAGAAATGTATAGTTTGTGCCTGAACTAGTAGCCTTCATTCCTAGTTGTTGTGTGATAGCAGTAGTTTTTAAAATTTACTCTTTTTATACCTGGTACCTCATCACTTTTTCTCACCTTCTTCCCTGCCCCTCTGCCCACCTCTCCCCTCCCAATGCTCCTTCTGGGCCCAGAAGTCCAGCACCTCTACCACCACCGGGGAGAAGATCACCAAGTTGTATGAGCTGGGCAGCGAGCCGGAGAGGAAGCTGTGGGTGGACCGCTATCTGACCTTCATGGAGGAGAGGGGCTCCCCGGTCTGCAGCCTGCCCGCCGTGGGCAAGAAGCCGCTGGACCTCTTCCGGCTCTACGTCTGCGTCAAAGAGATCGGAGGCTTGGCCCAGGTGAATTGAATGAATGAATGAATGAGTGAGAGAGAGAGAGAATGAATGAATGAGTGAATGAATAAGCGAAGAGGGAGGCATTCTGGATAAGCTCTCACGGCAACCTTCTTTGACCATGTAGCCGGGTGGTCTTCTCTCGGAGAAAGAGCTAAGCCTGCGTGAGAGTCGCCTTCATGGGGACCACGCAGGGAAAGCATCAGGACCGGGACCCTGGGTCCGCATCTGTAAAGGGAAACACTTGGGCTAGGTTTTTCTCTAGGGTCCCTGACAGCCGCGGAGCTCTGTGGGATCTGCCAGGATTTCCTAGTAAATATTCCAGAAATGTCTTGTGAATGACCAAATTAATTGTCTGAATCGGGTATAAATCAGATTCACTGTTTCCTCCATCCAGAGCAACTTATTAAGGAAACAGAGCCATAAGACCACGCCTCTGCCCCTGATCCCGGGCTGGGCCCGTGGGGAGCAATGGTTCCGGGCGGAATTTCAGGGTGCAGGTCTGCCCGGGCTGACCCTTCGAGGCCTCCTGCCTGCGGGGCGCAGCTCACACTCGAGGTTGCCTTTGTCCTAAGTCCCTGCCAGTGCAGAGCTCGCCAGTCCCAAAGGCCGTCTGAGGAAACTAACGAGATGAAGAGCCGTGGTGGGTGGCCCTGGACCCGGAGGCCGGTGGTCCCCCATCACCGGGGTTCGCAGGCCTGGCTCCGCATTTGAGTCACCTGGGCTCCCACCCCGGTCAGTGAAGGGAGCACTTGTGGGCCCGGTGGTCTAATACCCAGGTGGCCCAGGTCACAGACTATCCAAGGGCCAGTCATCTAACCCATGAGAATCACCTGGATCCGGTGCTGCACACGGGGGGAGAGCGGGGGGGGGGGGGGGAGAGAGGGGGGTGCAGGAGAGGCCATTGTTCTCCCTGGTGCCCCATCCCCCTCCCAGAGCCTGAGGACTACAACTGAGACAGCGTGGTGCCTGGCCTGCGCGATCACGTGGTCACTCACCTCCACGTCAGCCAGGGGAGAACAAGATGCACATGTCCCCTCCGCACAGAGACCCCTGGCCTCTCCCCTCTGCGCCTACACCTCCTGCACAGATACTTTTAGTCCCCAGGATACTAAGCGACTGGGGTCTGCCAGCGAGCCTGCTGGCTGGCCAATGAGGGTGCTTGGATGTCGCTGTGACTCAGTGGTGGGCACTTGGCCTTGCCGCTCACACCCATCTGCGTCTCTGCTGGTGACCATCCGTGTGCCTGGAGCCGCTGTGGCCGCTCAGCTCGGCTCAGCTCAGGGGCCCAGGCAGCCTCTGCCGGTGTCTGCAGCAATGACGGCCTGCCTGTGGCCGCGGGCATTAAGCACCGAGAGCAGTGTTAGGCACTTCGTGAGCGTGTGCGGTTTGTCATGCACCGTTTAGTACTAAGTAAATGGATATAAAGAGCTTTGTGAGAAAGTTTGAATCCAAAAATGTAACATTTTATTAAAAACCACTTGTGCCCTTAACCTCACCCAGGCTGTGGAGTCTGGGGGCACGTGAAGGCACAGTATTTGCGGGTCTTCGTGTTTCGTTCTGGTGTTAAAACCGCCATAACTCTTCCCCAGTGGGAATCAGAAGGATGAAGTAAAGCCTGAAGCCTCACAGGCCACGGCGGGATTTTCCCTCTTCTGTTTGTGCCCGTCTTCCCTGCCAGAGAGGAAGGAGCGGAAGCCCCACCTGCTCCTGCCCCTCACGAGCCCCAGCGGCTGCCCGAGGCCCGGGGCGGGTTAGAGCTCCAGGCCCACGAGTGTGCCAGGGTTTAGGCTGGGGTGGTTTGGTCAGGGCCTGTGGACCTTTGCGCCCAGTGTTGCCATTGCACAGCCCACACACAGCCAGTGGGAGGGCAAATGCACCGGGTGCAGAGGCCCCTCTTCCGGGAGCTCGTTGGAAGGGACACTTTTTCTTCCTAAGGCTGAAACACTTAACGTACAAAATAGCTCTATTGCTCCTTTTCAAGTTGGTTTTAGATACCTTTTTTTTTTTTTTTTTTTTTTTTTTTTTTTAATTTTCATTAGAGGAGGGACAGGGCCGAGTGTGAGGAGAGTGCGTTTGCTCATATCCACCCCTGGCTGCCCGCCGGCTCTGGAGGAGGGCGAGGCGCCGAGGTGCCCCAGGCCCCGTCAGCATGTCCCTTCATGGCTCCGTAACTGTACGTGCTGCCTGCGCACGACTGAGCGGGAGTAACGAGCATTAGTTAAAGAGGCAAATGAAAAAAGTAATCCAGTGCATCAGTTAATTCACTAACCATTTTAATCATTTTGCCTCCTGGCTTTGAACAAGCCACTTTGCCACAAACAGGTGGCCCTGCCGTTTGGGTTCGTTTATGTGTTTGTGTCTGTTTTGGTTTTTTGCTAGGTCAATAAAAACAAGAAGTGGCGTGAGCTGGCAACCAACCTAAACGTTGGCACGTCGAGCAGCGCGGCGAGCTCCCTGAAGAAGCAGTACATCCAGTACCTGTTCGCCTTCGAGTGCAAGATCGAGCGCGGGGAGGAGCCGCCGCCCGAGGTCTTCAGCGCCACCGAGACCAAGAAGCAGCCCAAGCTGCAGCCGCCCTCTCCCGGTGAGTGCGGCGCAGGGCCGGGGCCCCGGTGTGGTGGCTCGCAACTGGGCTGGCGTCCTTGCTGGTCCCGCTTTGAAGGCCCCTCCTTAGCTTTGCCTGGCCGTCAGACAGACCGGCACCGGAGCTGTGTGCCTTTCCTCCCGACACCGGTGGTTTTATACAGTCCCCCACTGCCACGCCGACCCCCCCAGGGCCCTGCTGGCCATCTGTGCCCCGCAAAGTCCTCCTGAGTTTGACAGGCCTGGCAGCCAGACGGGATCTGGACGCTGTGTCCGAGCCACGGGGCAGCCCCGTTAGCTCCGACCGCTGTCGGGAGTGCTAGGATCGATGGCTGCTCACCTGACTCCTCACACGGAAATCCAAGTGGGTTCCTGCCCGTCTCCTGTCTAATTCACCTGCTGGCGACCGTCAGCTCTGCCAGCCCTCGTTCTGTCTGTTGGGCAGCTTGCTGGACTCTGTGAAGCCACTGGACCCGACAGACACAGTGAGGGGGCGAGAAGAAACCGGGCCACCCCTGTTCTGGGTGGCGGTCTCTCAAGTTCAGCTCCACTGCCCCCGCGTCTGGTCCCGCCACACCAGGCCTAGTGGTCCTTCCTGTCCCACCGCTCGCTCCGGGCTGGGATCCCACACCGTAGGCATGGCCCCTGAGCACTTTTCTCCACGCTTTGTCACTTGGTCTCCTGTCGGACCGGACACAGAGGTGGTCTTAAATCCGTAAGAAAACAAAGGCACGTAAAGTCTCAGTGACAGACGCAGAGTCTCGGCGACAGGGAGCAGACAGGGCCAGCACTCCCCGCCTCTGTCGTGGGGGTGTTGGCACTAGAAGAGGTGTCTGAGCCATGGGAACAAGTGGTTTCTCCTAGCGTAGCCCCCCGGGCAGCAGAGCTGGCACCTGTGGTTGCCAGGCCAGGACTGCGCATAAATGCTGTGCGGAGCACCGGGTTTAGCCCCGCCTCTCGGACCCCCTCCCCGAGGACCTTTGCCTGTGACGTTGTCCCTGAAGAGCTGGAACCCAAGTTTAAAATCTCCCTCCCTGAACGGTCTGCATGCGGCTTGGAGAACGGCCCTCCCAGCGCCTCGGCTGCAACGCGGGCGTCCCGCTGGGCAGGCCCTCCCGCTTCCTCCTTTAACCTGCAGTTTTTGGCAGCGTTACCGGCTCCCTGCACAGAGAGCTTGGGTTGCAGATGTGCTTCTGATAGTCCGTCCTCCTCAGCAGCCGCTGGAGTGGAGGCAGGCAGCGGGGGACGCTTCCTCCATGCAGCCAGCTGAGCCTGGGGGGCCGGGCGCAGGGGACCCAGGGCTTGCCCATCATCTCGGGTGTTCTGTGCACCGCTCAGCAGACAGACAGGTGCGGGCACGGCCCCCGAGGTGGTGACTCGCATCAGTCCGTAGCCAGAGCCACGTGCTTCCGGCACCCGTGGGCCTATCCTCTCGGGCTCTGGGACTGTCACCAAGGAACTCATCTCGGTAACGTTACCATCAGTGAAGAAAAAAGGCCATTGTCAACAATTGGCACATTAGGGTCTCACATGCAACAACATTTCCAGAAACCAAATTTCAGCCGAAATGTGTGTCTGTGAGGTCCGTTTTTCTCATGGCACATAATTGTAGTTGATTCCTTTCCTGCACATCCAGGAAAACTAAAAAATTCCTACGAAATATTCTAGATTATTTGTTTAAATCAGGTGGGGATGCCCTAACCAGTTTGGCTTGGTGGATAGAGGATCAGTCTGTGGACTGAAGGATCCCAGGTTTGATTCCGGTCAAGGGCATGTACCTTGGTTGTGGGCACATCCCCAGTGTGGGGGTGTGCAGGAGGCAGCTGATCAATGTTTCTCTCTAATCGATGTTTCTAACTTTCTATCCTTCTCCCTTCCTTTCTGTAAATAAATCAATAAGATATATAAAAAATAAATCAGGTGGGGAACCTTTTTGCTATCAAGGGTCTTTTGGATGTATATATCATTTGCAGGCCATACAAAATTATCAACTTAAAAATGAGCCTGCTGGGCTTGGTCAAACATTTAATTAGCTCACCCCTAACGCCTTGGCAGGCCAGGTCAGTTGACTTCTCGGACCCTCGGGCTAGTTCCCCGCCCCTGGCTTACATGCACACGAAGCCAGCGTACATCCTGCCTCATGGGCTGTACTGTGGAGGCTCTCCATCAGCGGTCGCCAACCAGTGGCCCGTGAGGTCCGGAAGGTTGGCGCCCGCTGCTCTGTCCTCTGTATTCACTGATCTGATGTGGCCGGCACGGGGCTGAAATTCAGTGCTGTCAGCCCTCCGGTGTCACCCCTCAGGCCTCTGGGCCATCGGGATCTCCACTGGACAGGCCTGTGGTTCCCAGAGAGATCGGTCACTCCCGTCTCACAGCCTCTGGGCGAGTCAGCTGAGAAGGCCCCGAGTGGACCGGGACAAGGACTGGTACAGGGGCGTCTCCGCCCAGTGGGCTCTCGTCATAATAAAACCATAAAAGCTGTGGACTTCCAATGAGCTGCCACAGCAGTTTCCTACCCAGCTGGCCAGGACGGCTGGAAACCAGCGGGGGAGGGTGGGGGGACAAGGGAGGGGGGGGGGCACGGAAGCTCCACATTCAATTAGTGAGTCTGTAACCAAAAACCCATCCATCTTTGCTGGCAGGTGGCTGGCTGCGTTTCTATTATTAGCTGACAGGTGATGTCACAAAACCTGTCACGGATCCAACTAGGGAATCCTCAGTGGAAAACAAACGAGAAAGGGCTCGGGTTATAAACAAAAGTGCCCTCTGGGTGACCTCTGGTCCCTGCGGGCCTGGGACAGATCAGCTCTTCCTGCTTCTCCCCGCCCTCCTTCCAGAACCCCAGCCAGGAGGAGGGCACCGGTTCGTGCTGTGTAAATTATCCTCCCAGCCAGGAGTCTGGCTGTACAGTGTGAAGTGTGTGAATGTACTTAACCTTCCGTAACCCTTCCATTGTTTACTTTCGAGTATACATTTGTAGCTTCTGGCAAAAGGTGGGGACATCCCAGAGAGCGTGCCAGCCTCTGCTATTAATGGAGCTTCAAGAGGCTGCATTCATTTTTTCCCTGAAAGCAAAGGAAGAAACTCTGGCAAGAGGGAAGAATGTTCCCTTTTTTACGAGCTGTAAATGTGAACACTTGTAAATAAGGGTCATTCTGAATCACCGCCTGGGAGCCGTGCTTCCAGGGAGCGTGCAGACAACGAGCAGCCGATCTCCGCCGAACAGCCCGGCCCAGCGTAGCTCCTGCTGCTCCTCTTAGGTTACCCTGATTGGGTTTATAGAGACTGCTTTTTTCTTTCATTGCATTTCTAAATATGCATTCCTAGCGTTTCTCCAAAATGTGGTTTATAAGCACGAGTCAGTGAGTTTGTTTTTTTAAAGATGTCTACATAAAAAAAGATACATTAAAAGTAAGTCTTCCCGTGTCTCTGAGAACTTCCCAGCATCGCCCGAGTCCTGGGCAGCCAAGGAAGACATTGCACAGAATACTACAGCCTGTTGGCTGTCACCAGGACTCACCCCCGGCCAGGTGGGATTGGACAGTCCTGATCGCACTGGGCATGGCTGTGTTCACAGCTGGGGAAGGCCATGCTCACAGCGGGGGCTGGCTGAGGAGAAGCGATAGACCCATCGCCTTTATAGCACACTCAATAGTGACCATTTTAACTCTGTTTTCTCTAACGTACGACGACGATGGGGTCACTCTGAGCCGTGGGCACTGTGGAGGACAGGAACTGTAGCTGTGGCGTGTACCAGCAGCCAGGAGCCGCTGTAGCTGCATGAGGCAGAGCTGTTTGTCTTTTCTCATCAGTTTAGTGCACGGGTGGAACTCAGGGATGGAAAAGAGCCTGCAATAGAGCAAGCCCATTACTTATTCAATAAGCGATTAGTAACTAAAACCAGTATCTACTGAACACCTAGCATTCAATGATAAAGCAAGAACTCTTAAAATACTGTTTTTCCTTTAAGGTGAGGTTAATATTTTCAAGATTCCTTGCTTAAATTTTTGAAAGATCTGCTCAGTTCTAAGCTGTTACTATAATGTAATTATAGTTAAAGCCAATCCTTATAAACTCTAATAATGACATTAATGAATCCCAACCCAGTATTGTGTTGTATAGTCACAAATCTGAACTTCATAGCTCCAAAAATCACTGCTAATGACAGAACATAGACACTTCTAGACATTTAGAAGGCATCAAAATATGATAAAGACCTGTTGATATTTTGTGTCATTGCTTTTCAACTTAAACATTCTTAAGTTAAAAAGTAAGATAGAACTAATTTTTCTAGTTTTTTTTTAAACAGCACAATAGATATGCCATCAAATTGATATGCCAAAATTTTCATCCCATTATTCCTTATTCTCAGACATTTAAATTATCTACATTATAAACAACACTGAAATAAACATTTTTCTGCCTAAAATTTCCTTTACATTAGATTGTTTTCTTGGGATTATTACCCAGGAAAGTCATTACCTGGTCAAAGTGTAACTTTTATGACTCACAAATGAAGTATGTTTCCAGAGTTAAATTTTTACTGAGTTTCACTACAAATAATGTGTAAAAAAAAAAAAAAAAAAAATTGTAATAGTGTAAGGTCAAGAATATTAACTAGATTTACTGTGGTGATCATTTTGCAATAGTTACAAATACCAAGTTATTACATTGTACTCCTAAAAACATTAGAATACGTCCATTATATAACCTCTATGAAAAATAGAAGAGTGATTAATTTTACTCCATCGTGACCAGCAGTGGGTATTGTTACTATTTCTAATAAGGTGGTGTCTTGTCTTTCTTTTTTTTTTTAATAACTAGCAAGGATGATCTTACTTTGATAAACTTGTTTTCCCCCCCATTTCCTCTTGGCTCTTACTACTATCAGCTAATTCAGGATCCTTGCAAGGCCCACAGACCCCCCAGTCCACTGGCAGCAATTCGATGGCAGAGGTTCCAGGTGACCTGAAGCCACCGACTCCAGCTTCCACCCCTCATGGACAGATGACCCCAATGCCAGGTGGAAGGTATGTTCGAGAGCTGAGCGTGCCGAATCAGACTTCCTGTCTTAATGTCTGCAGCGAGCCTCACAGAGGACGGTGCTCCCTGGCGCGTGGTTACATGTTGACTGCTACTGGTTTTGCTCGTCATTTATTTGGGTAGTTTTTACATTCACTGATTGCAAGAATAGCTTGTTTTCTGAGTAAGTGTTTGGAGGTAACACTTCCTGCTCTTACATTAAGCTTTCATTCCTCCCATCCGCTCAGAAGCAGTACAGTCAGCGTGCACGACCCGTTCTCAGACGCGGGCGACTCATCGTTCCCGAAACGGAACTCCATGACTCCGAGCGCCCCGTACCAGCAGGGCATGACCATGCCCGACGTGATGGGCAGGGTGCCCTACGAGCCCAACAAGGACCCCTTTGGCGGGATGAGAAAAGGTAGGTGCAGCGGCGCCTGGCGTGGCGTGGCCCCAGAGCCGCCTCTCTGCAGCTCCCATCACCGAGTCTCTGGCCTCGGAGAAAGACTTGGCATCTTTGTGCTTTGTTTCCTTGTCTAGAAATTGGGAAATACTGGGGTCTGCCTAAAGGGTGCCCTGAGTATGAAGGGATCAGTCACATAAAGGCCACAGGAGAATGACTGGCACAGGAAGCAGCGTGCTCTGAATGCTACCACATGTCGGCAGGCACAGGGCCTGGGCTGGGCACAGGGCTGGGCACTAGGGGGATGGTGCAGAGCAGGACTAGCTCCAAGTGGGCAAGTACGTTAAACCACAAACTATAAAGCAAGACCAACTATACTTCTTCTCAAGCTTCAGAGCTGCTTATTCCAAGTAAATATTTTGCAGAACTTGCAATAAATCCATAAACTCAGAAATTCAAAGGCTTTGTGAGCGTTGGGAGGTAGCTATTTTTCTTAGTGGCGTGCAGTTAGAACATTTTGTGAATGCTGTTAGTGGTGGTTTCACATTTTAGACTCTGAAAATATGACAATAATAACATGGGAAGTAATTAGTAGTGTTTGGAATCTGGCTTCAGAATTCATTGTGAACTTCCTACTACATGCTGTTAGACTGCGAGATTGTATTGTTTCCTGTGCCCACATTTCTCTTATTGCGGAGGGTGGGACGTGCGAGGACTGCCCGCCTGGCACTGGGCAGCCACAGAACTTGTTCTCATCGATCCTGAAAGCGATACTGCTGCTCGGGAGGAAGTTCCGCCTCGCATTTCCCCGTGTGCTTCAGCCTGAGGGCTCCGCTGGTGGATTCAGCTCCAAATGGAAGCGGATAAACAGAAAAGCCCGGGGAGACGGGCTCACTTGGTGGCCCTCTGATTCCTTTATTTCACTGCTGACATAACCCAGCTTTGTCCTGTGCTTCTGTGGGGAGGCCCACGTCCGGCCTCTCGTGGCAGGTGCTGGCTAAGCTGTGCCATTTTAATGCTCAACGTGAAGATGCTAAAGATGGTTTTAATCCGACCTTTTAATATTTGCCAGTCAGATTGGGAGGGGGAAAGGCCTGGTTATTGTTTTAACTTGGATTTCTTTAATTATTAATATATATATATCAGCCATTTTTCTTGTTCTGTGAATATCCATTTATGGATATTTCATTTTTTTTCTTATTGGTTTTTAAGAACTCTTTGTATATTGGGAAATTAAGCTATTCACTTTAATCATCCCCCTTAATTTCTGTCTGCCTCTGTTTTTAAATCTATAAAATGGGAAATAACATCAAAACTGGTTCTACTGAGGGTTGATGGGGATCAAATAAAATAGAGACTGTGAAAGCCACTGCAGAGCGCACCTGCCGCCAGCTTCCGGCTTCCGTGCCTGCGCCTCTGCCGGCCTCACAGACCTATCGGCTCACAGACCTCTCATCAGCTTTGCTTCCTGTGAGATAGAAGTAACCTTCTAGGCGAAGAAGTAGTAGGACCACATATCAATTAAGATGTGCGTTAAACCGAGTAATTTACCTACAGGCTAGTTTCTGGGCTTGACCCAGTTTCCTTCAGGCGCTGAGCTGATGCTCATTTGCGTATTTGACCTAATTGTCGCTCTACCCTGGTAGAAATAGCGTGTCTCATCCATTCGGGAGCTATTCCGGCTCCCTGGTGACTGTCTTTACCCTGGTTTTGGAGTGGGTCGGTGGGCGGTGTCTGTGTCGAGGTTCTCACTTCCCCATCAGGGACGGGCATAGCTCTGCAAGTGTCTCCTCTCTCCCCAGACCCATGCCATAGACAGGCAGTCAGCGCGACACGTGCTGCTTACCCGTCCGTTTTCACTGTTACCACAGTCACCTCACACCTAGCAGCCTGAAGCAGCACAGACTGGGGTCGGCTCCTGCGTGCTCACCCAGCTCACACAGCTCATGCCAGGCAGTGAGGTCTCCCGGGGCTCGGCCCCTCAGCTCGCACAGGAGGCTGGCATCCTGGCAGCTGGGAGTGAGATGTCCAGTCAGCCATCGGCTGAGGGTGCCGCCCGTTCTTATATGTGGCCTCTCCCCTGCAAGGCGGGTGCTGCTTCAGGACCACAGGGGGCACCCCCACTCCGTCTGTCAGAGGCAATGTAAAGGCCCACCCGGCAGTCTCTCCTCCGGTGACCCCATCATACCCAGGGGCCCTGCCCAACCCGGAGGGCTGTGTGGGGAAGTCCATGGGGTGGGGATCTGGGGTCCATCTTAGGGTTCCGCCTCACAGGGCCCACCTTGACTGTAGAGCTTAAGCTCTTTCTTTCGTGTTGTTGGTCATACAAGGATAAGGTAATGTGGCGTGTTAACAAGAACGAACGGCTAGACAGGCCTTTGGCTTTGGAGTGCTGACTGTGGTCTGTTCTTCCCCGCCCAGTGCCTGGAGGCAGCGAGCCCTTCATGTCGCAGGGCCCGATGCCCACGAGCAGCATGCAGGACATGTACAGCCAGAGTCCCTCCGGCACCATGTCTGGCCTGGGCATGGGGCAGCGGCAGCAGTTCCCCTACGGAGCCACCTACGACCGGAGGTGAGCATCTCTCACTCAGCAAAGGTGAAACCGTTCGCACACTCCTGAGCCCTGGCGGCGACGTCACACAGAGTCCGTGTCCCTGTGGTCCAGGCTCAGCTCTGGGTGTGGGGGTGTGTTGGCTGATGGTCAGAAGGGTAACAGTTGTCCTGAGACATACGTTCCTTTTGTTGTTGTTAATCCTCACCAGAGGATATTTTTTTCTATTGATTTTTAGAGGAAGGGGGAGAGAGGGAGGGAAGAAAAGAGGAAAGAGGGGAGAGAGAAACATTGATCATGTTGATCAGCTGCTTCCCATATTTGCCCCAACTGGGGCCGGGTGTCAAACTTGAAACCCAGGTATGTGTCTTTGGCCAGGAATCAAACCTTGGTGCACAGGCCAAGGCTCTAACCATTGGGTAGCACTGATCGGGGCATGGGACATATATTCTTAAAGGAGCCAAAGCAAATATAGGAAGAAGGCTGTGCAGCCTAGGTTTGCTAGTGAAAGTCATTTTGGTTCTGCTACATTAGAGAGGGGCTTACCTCATTGCTGAGTTTTCTCTTCTACAGTTATTGCTTAGCTTAAATTTTATCTATGTCAATTATATTTTTTTCTCAACTATAAGCTTCCTTCTAGATATCAATGTTGTTAGCAAAAATTCCCATGTCTGTTTTACATGTGATAGTCTAAAAGTTTATTCATTTTCTGTCTTATTCACTGACCAGTTTAGGAATATATTTAGTTTAATTATTCTATTTCTTACAAGATCAATATACATACTAACTAAACCAGTTAATTTTTCTTAATTTCAAATTTATTGGGTGGTTCTTTAAACATGCTATTTTTATGGTATTTATAATTTCTCAGTATTAGCTGGGAAATAAATGTATTGCTCATTCCCATTTTAAGATTTAATAGCAATACATTTAAATAATTCCTGTTATTCTTTTTTATAGCCTTTTATAATTGTAGGACTTTGAGCACAGCACCCATACAGTTACTAGCTAACTCAATGTCATTTGCATTAATTGTGACGTATATCTTTGGAAATGAATATTTCTTCTTCGTAATGAGAACGGGAGAAGTTGAGCTAGTTTCCATTATTATGGGTCCATGTCCTGGTCCTCTGCTTGGCCTCTTGGACTCTGTGCTGCTGCTTCCTCTCATGTGTGCCCACAGCACAGCCCTGGATGGCACTCCCGGGGCATCAGTGGGTGGGCGGGGCCCCAACTCAAAGGCAGAGGGTGCTGCCCGCCAGCTGGGACTCCTCACACCTGCTGCCCAGATTGGCAGCGGTCCCAGGAGGGGTGTCCCATACTTTTGCTAAGAGTTCATCTGCAGCTGCTCGGCCTGCCTCTGCTGGAAGGTGCGGGTGAGGGAGGAAAAGCTGTTGAGCATAGAGTTTCAGGAAATAGACTTCCTTTCTCCTGTGGCCTGAGGTCCTTTGTGAAGGAGGTTTTCTTTGATGCCTCGTTCCAGGCATGAACCCTACGGGCAGCAGTACCCGGGCCAAGGCCCACCCTCAGGACAGCCGCCGTACGGAGGACACCAGCCGGGCCTGTACCCGCAGCAGCCGGTGAGTGAGGGGTGAGTGGGCGTGCCCGAGGCCTTCCGGTGCAGACGCAGACTCCGGTCACTGCGGAGGGTGCTAGCAAGTGTAACCAAAGTGATTAGCATTCGTTGAACAATCACAGTGTCATTTGTTTGTGCTGGAGCATAGTCTCAGACTTGGAAGCCAGCAAATTAAAGACAGCCCTTGGTGTAGGGAATCCCAAAACAAGTATCATGTGTTAGGAGTTAAGGAAAGGCAGCCGTGTAAATAGTAACAAGCCCAGCTTAAGTATATTTAAAACGCCTGTGTGTACTAAACGATCAAACGCCATTTTAGACCAGAAATATGTGAATATATTTTAAAAAGGACATGTAGGAAAAAACAACTAAAATATTACCTACTACGTGGAAGTTGTTGGCTTTTTAAAGCAGATGCTGACTGACTGCACGTTTGACGGAGGGAGAGGTTTGCAGGTCCTCGCTGCCCTGCAGCCCAGAGGACGCTGGGCGCGGCTTTCAGCCCCGGAAGGCAACTTCCACCCGCTCCCAGGCTTAAGACCGCCTGTAAATAGGGGGCTGAACGTGTATTTAATTTTACCGGGGGTGCATCTACAGCGGGCTGTGCTCTTAAACCAGCTGATCCTGGTTTAAGTTCATTCCCATGTCAGCATCTCACTCACTCCACCGAGACACCGTCCCGGCCAGGAGCTGAGGAGGGGCTGCGCCCGGCCTGCCCTCAGGCTGGGGCAGTCTGACCAGACAAGCCGGAAGTCGGGTGTGGGCCATGGGATGTCGGTGTCGGGGTAGCACAGGTGCAGTCTGAGCAGCCAGATCCTTCAGGAGGCTTCTCTGTAGTTAGGCCTAAGGAATTATTGGACCCAGGACCCTCTCAGGGTGGCCCTCGGAATATCCTACCCCCTAGGTCCCCTCAGCGTCCCTCCAGGCCCGTTCCCACAGACACACCAGGCAGGGACATAACCGGGAGGCCCGTGGGCTGGCAGCCCTGGAATGAGACGGGAACCGTTAGTGCTCGGTTACGCGAGCTCCTGGGCCCGTCCGGGGTGAGCGTCCCCGGTGACAGTTGCTAGGGGATGTGGTCATTCCTGGAAAAGCACGTGTGCAACCTGCCTGTGTGTGACTTTCAGAACTACAAGCGGCACATGGACGGCATGTACGGCCCCCCCGCCAAGCGCCACGAGGGCGACCTGTACGGCGTGCAGTACGGCGGCCAGCAGCCCGATGTGTACAACCAGTACGGCGGCTCCTACTCCGGGCCCGAGCGCCGGCCCCTGCAGGGCCAGTACGCCTACCCGTACGGCCGCGAGCGGGTGCAGGGCCCCGGCCAGATGCCGCCGCACGGCCTCCCCCCGCAGATGCTGGGCGGCCCCCTGCAGCCGGCCTCCGGGGACGGCCCGCAGCAGGGCCTGTGGGCGGCGCGCAACGACATGCCTTACCCCTACCAGGCCCGCCAGGGCCCCGGCGGCCCCGCCCAGGCACCCCCCTACCCGGGCATGAGCCGCACGGATGACATGATGGTCCCCGACCAGAGGATAAACCACGAGAGCCAGTGGCCCTCCCACGTGGGCCAGCGCCAGCCTTACCTGTCCTCGTCGGCCTCCATGCAGCCCATCACGCGCCCGCCCCAGCCGGCCTACCAGCCGCCGCCGTCCCTGCCCAACCACATCTCCCGCGCGCCCAGCCCCGCCGCCTTCCCGCGCGCCCTGGAGAGCCGCATGTCCCCCAGCAAGTCCCCCTTCCTGCCCGCCATGAAGATGCAGAAGGTCCTGCCCACCGGCCCCGCGCCCCAGGCCACGGGGCCGCCCCCCCAGCCGCCCCCGATCCGCAGGGAGATCACCTTCCCGCCCGGCTCCGTGGAAGCGTCCCAGCCAGTCCTGAAGCAGAGGCGGAAGATCACCTCCAAGGACATCGGTAAGCCGGGCTGCTCCCCGGAGTCCGCGGCCAGAATCAGGTCCCAGTGCAGCTCCTCCTGTGATCTGCCTGTGCGTGCAGACTGTCAGGCTCAGAGAGGAGCCTCGCTGGGGGTAATTCACTGATCTGAGCTGAAGCAGCACCGGGAAAGCCTGCATTACCGAGTGTTTTCACGGCAGAGGTGCTGTGAGAGGGGGTTGGGCGAGAACCTGGGGTCCCCCAGTGGCCGTGGACCAGCTTCTGGCCGAAAGCTCTGACCTAAACCAAGCACTTCCTCTCTGCAGGCGTGCTGAGAAAGCTGCGGGCCTGAAGGCAGGGTAGGGGTGGGGTCCCGGGGGAATCAGGAGCCTGAAGGTGACGTGTAGGCAGACAGGATTGCCATCTGTGGGTCCGAGAATCGGGGGGTGCTGGACACGGCCAGGGCTGCTTCCATTATCACTGAGGGGCTCGCCGGTCCTGCTGGGGCCTCTGAACAGGAAGGAGACACCCTCTGTCTGGGAGTACACACAGCACAGCAAAGGGCATTAAGATCTTGATTAAACTAAAAGATTCTTTTCAAAAATCTCAAAACCACTTGACGTGAAATCCTATTCAGTGATTAGAAAAATGGTAACGATGTTCCCACTCCTAGGACTGTCAGGACCTGTGGAGAAAGGGGTGCGGGAGGTGAGCAAGAGACACAGACGCATGGCCATTTTATATGTGGAAATAGACGTAAAAATAGGCACACGCATTTGTGGTTTACGTGTGTGTACACGTTTAAATAAATACTTAAATTTTTATAAAATTTCTTAGTACATTTATACCAGTATTTGTCTGTAGTACAGAGAAATTTATGTTCCTCGTTTTAAAAAGGAAGCTTGCTTTTTCTATGATAAAATTAATATGTGTCTATCTTAGAAAAATTGAAAAGTAACGAAATTAAAACAAGCTGGAAACCCAGTCCCCTCCTGGCCTGAGGCTGCCGTGGCACCTGGCGTGGCTGTGGCTGGGCTGTGGCTGGGCTGTGGCTGGGCAGGCCCGCTCACCCCACGTGCCCTCACCGGCTCCGGAGATGGCCCCCTGTCACTGACAAGCGATTGCCTCTTTTCCTAGCCCAGCTATGGCGCGCCTGCGTGTGCTTTATCACGTGGCTCTCTTCCTCGGTGACAGGAATGGGGGGACAAAAGTGCGGCTCTGTTCCCAGCCCCGGCTCAGGCTCAGACCATCAAAGCGCTGGCGTTGTCCACAGCGTGTCCTGAGCTAAGGAACAGGGACGGCACGGGAAAGCCAGGACTTCGTTGGGATTTAAGTCTGGCTTACATTCTGCGTACTTGCAGCTGTGAGTGGAGCAGGCACCAAGGACAAGTAGCACTGTTCGGTTTGGCTCTGCCATTGGGACTGCTCACCTGTTAGGGGGAAAGGAGGAAGCGGGGCTGTGCTGAACCGCAGCCTCCTGCAGAGGCATGTGGGCCCCTGTTTAACCAGCAAAGCGGAAGGCCTTCGAGACCAAAGTTCTCAGTACGGCCCTCACCTCGCTTCAGATCTGGAAGTGATCATGTGTGATCATGTCGATCAACCCCTCAGAACAGTTATGTAAAGCCAGTCCCCATCGCCATTTCTTTCCTCTTACTCTTCGTTGTGTTCTGTTCTCTCATGCGTGGCGTTAATACTGATCACATCCTGTTCTTTCCCGTTTCCAGTCACCCCGGAGGCGTGGCGTGTGATGATGTCCCTGAAGTCAGGGCTCTTGGCTGAGAGCACCTGGGCTTTGGACACTATAAACATCCTCCTGTACGATGACAGCACTGTGGCCACGTTCAACCTCTCCCAGGTGAGCCAGCACGAGGAGCCGAGGACCGAGGCCGAGCACGAAACCACGGGTGCTGGCGCTCGGCATCTGGCCCTGTCACCGACATCGGCCAATGTGTGGTTGCCCGAGAATTCAGTGCAGAATGACAGTTCGTTTCAGTCTTTCTGTGAATTCACACATACCTATGTCTCATAAGAACACCATGACCGTGTGCGTGCGTGTGAGTGTGCGTGCATGTATGCATGGAATGGATGATAGCAGTCAAATTAAGTTGCTGTTTAGAATAAATATGAGCAGCCCAATGTGAATGAACTCAGATCCACCTAAAGTCGTGTCCATAGTTGGTGATGGGAACGCAGTGGGTTGCAATGGAGTGTTACTCCTCTTTCCAAAGGGACCTCCCTTTTCTCTTAACTAAAAAACTTTTTTTTTTAAATATATTTTATTGATTTTTCACAGAGAGGAAGGGAGAGTGATAGAGAGCTAGAAACGTCGATGAGAGAGAAACATCAACCAGCTGCCTCCTGCACGCCCCCTACTGGGGATGTGCCCACAACCAATGTACATGCCCTTGACCGGAATTGAACCTGGGACTTTTCAGTCCGCAGACCGATGCCCTACCACTGAGCCAAACAGGTTTCGGCTTAACTGAAAAACTTTTAAAAAGGGAAGTTAAAGAGAAATTTTGTATTTAGAAGATATATAATACACAGTTGACACTTGAACAATCAGGGGTTACAGGTACCCACACAATCAAAAAGCTGCGTATAGTTTTGTCTCCCCAGATACGTACGTTGTTCCTTAGTTTCCGTGGGGGCTGGATTCCAGGACACCCCCCTCACCCCATGAATATCAAGTCCGAGGATGCCCACGTCCCTATAAAGTGGTGTAGATCAACGCACGCAGCCAGCCCTCCGCGTCCACGACTGCACGCGTAGAGAAGACAGTTTGCTGGGCCCCCACGTGCCCCCACGTGCCCTCATTCAGCTGAAGTGGCCATGCCTCCTGGCCACGCCCTCCAGGCGGTTGATCCCCCGGAAGCCCAGGGCGGAGCTGCAGCCCTCCTGCTCGCGCTAGGCTTAGGGGAGATTCCAGCTTAACGGCTCGCAGAGCGAGGGAGCTGAGGCTAGAAGACGCCCAAGGGTCCCCTCGCTATGGACTTTGAAAGAAATCCTCAGAAACAAACATGAGAAAGGGGTGTTTTCCCTACTGTGTGTGAACAGCTCTGCTTTGGTGAAAAAGCCCAAACATCTGATCCTTCTATGGAAACAGGACAGGACCTCCCTCTCTCCTTTAAGTGCTCATGTACCCCGGAAGGCAGTTTCTCAGGCGACAGGCAGTGTGTGAATAAGGTCCTCAACTTCACATGACGTTCGTTTCCACTGACAATAAGGATTAAAACCTGTGTCCTCTGCTGGAGTGATTACTGTGTCCTGTGGGCGGTGGCTCTGGGCCCGCCTGCCAGGCAGGTCCTCTTTGGCCGCTCCCCTGCCCCTGCCCCTGCCCGGGAAGGAGGTCTAGGGCTCGGGGGGGGGGGGGGGGGGCCACACCTGCGCTGGGAGATCCTGCCTGTGCTGGAGGCGGTGCTCTCTGGCTGCGCCCAGTCCCGTACGTAGTAATCACGCTCCCCGGGAGCTGACGCAGCTCGGGAGGTGGGTGCCCGGCTCACACTGTCACTGAGGAGTCCTCTCTCGCTCACCGGTGCTTTGTCGCCCCCAAGCACGCTGATGGGACTCAGGAGGGAGCTGAGCGGTGCTAACTGGGAGGTGTGCTTTTCTGGGTACAGACATGTGCTCAAAAGAAACAAACTGGTCCTGGCGTCTTTGTCTTCAGCTAGCGCCTCCAATAGCTGGAAGGTAAACTGCCTTCAACGAGACATTCTAATCCACTTATCGGGGACTCAATTGATTTGCTTTTAATTTTCTGTTATTAAAGCTACTACGTTGCTAAAAAATATCTCTCGCAAAGAATAAATCAACGTGACCTATGGCTCCTGAGACAAAAATAACCATCCAGTTTGATGATGAAACAGTAAAAGCCAGGCAGGCAGAGTCTCATGAAATAGGAAAGAGCAGGCTCACTTCCCACTCTTACAGTGATGAATGCATTGAGTTTAAGTGTGTGTGGGGGGGGGGGGGGAGGAGGAATCTTAGAAAAATGAAGGAAACAGGTAAGTTTTCATGTCGATAGTGCAGGAGAGTAAGCAGGACATGAGAAACATGGCAGATATCGGTTTGGTTGATAATAGAACTCAGCAGGACGGTAGTAACGGTAAATAGTTTGGGCCTAGCCAGGCATGCGGTGAATCCTGGGAGAGTCCTCCCAGGCTAGGGCTCGCTGTCGGGGCTTACCCGGCCGCAGGCCTAGCCGATGTCATGACACTGAGCCTGTTCTTGTCTCTCTCTCCCCTCCTCTGCAGTTGTCCGGCTTTCTGGAACTGTTAGTCGAGTACTTCAGGAAATGCCTAATCGACATTTTTGGAATTCTCATGGAATACGAAGTGGGAGACCCCAGCCAAAAAGCACTTGACCACAGCGCAGTGAAGAAAGATGAGGCCTGGGCCGACGAGTGTGGGGGAGAGGAGGAAGCTGCGGAATGCGTGGCGGAGGACGAGGAGGAGGAGGAGGACGAGGAGGCCGAGGACGAAGACGGTGCCAAGGCCGAGGCGGGGGCCGAGGAGAAGGGCGGCGCGGCCCTGAGCCCCTCGGACGCTGTGGCCGAGCCGAAGGAGAAGCCCCAGCAGGCCAGCAGGTTCGACAAGCTGCCCATCAAGATCGTCAAGAAGAACAACCTGTTCGTGGTGGACCGCTCGGGCCGGCTGGGCCGCGTGCAGGAGTTCAGCAGCGGGCTCCTGCACTGGCAGCTGGGCGGCGGGGACACCACGGAGCACATCCAGACGCACTTCGAGAGCAAGATGGAGATCCCGCCGCGCCGGCGGCCCGCCCCGGCCCCCGCCCCCGCCCCCGGCGCCGCGGGGCCCCGGCCTGAGCCCGAGGGCCAGGCCGCGCCGGAGGAGCAGCCCGAGAAGAGCATCATCGCCACCATCGACGACGTCCTGTCGGCGCGGCCGGGCGCGCTGCCCGAGGACGCCCACCCCGGGGCGCCGCCGGACAAGTTCCCGTTCGGCATCCACCAGGCGCGGAGCCACCGCAACATCCGGCTGCTGGAGGACGAGCCGCGCAGCCGCGACGAGGCGCCGCTCTGCACCGTGGCGCACTGGCAGGACTCGCTGGCCAAGCGCTGCATCTGCGTGTCCAACATCGTGCGCAGCCTGTCCTTCGTGCCGGGCAACGACGCCGAGATGTCCAAGCACCCGGGCCTGGTGCTCATCCTGGGCAAGCTCATCCTGCTGCACCACGAGCACCCCGAGCGCAAGCGGGCGCCGCAGACCTACGAGAAGGAGGAGGACGAGGACAAGGGGGTGGCCTGCAGCGAGGACGAGTGGTGGTGGGACTGCCTCGAGGTCTTGCGGGACAACACGCTGGTCACGCTGGCCAACATCTCCGGGCAGCTGGACCTGTCTGCGTACACGGAGAGCATCTGCCTGCCCATCCTGGACGGCCTGCTGCACTGGATGGTGTGCCCCTCCGCCGAGGCGCAGGACCCCTTCCCCACCGTGGGGCCCAGCTCCGTGCTGTCGCCGCAGAGACTCGTGCTGGAGGCGCTGTGCAAGCTCAGCATCCAGGACAATAACGTGGACCTGATCCTGGCCACGCCGCCCTTCAGCCGGCAGGAGAAGTTCTACGCGACGCTAGTGAGGTACGTGGGCGACCGCAAAAACCCGGTCTGCCGGGAGATGTCCATGGCGCTCCTGTCGAACCTGGCCCAGGGGGACACGCTGGCCGCGCGGGCCATCGCCGTGCAGAAGGGGAGCATCGGGAACCTGATCAGCTTCCTGGAGGACGGCGTGACCATGGCGCAGTACCAGCAGAGCCAGCACAGCCTCCTGCACATGCAGCCGCCGCCGCTCGAGCCGCCCAGCGTGGACATGATGTGCCGCGCGGCCAAGGCGCTGCTGGCCATGGCCCGCGTGGACGAGAACCGCTCCGAGTTCCTGCTGCACGAGGGCCGGCTGCTGGACATCTCCATCTCGGCCGTGCTGAACTCGCTGGTGGCGTCCGTCGTCTGTGACGTCCTCTTCCAGATCGGGCAGTTATGACCCCGGCGAGGAGGCCGCCGCGAGTGACTGAGCTCCGCACGCCGGCTGTCCGTTCTGTTTCTCCGGCGCAGGAAGAAGGAAGAGAGAACGTGTGCTCCTCTGCCCCGATCATAGTTACCAACTGGGAATTAAAGAGATAATTAATTCGAACAGTTATGAAATTAATATTTGCTGTCTGTGTGTATAAATACATCTGTTGGGTTTTTTTAATTTTTTTTTTTTTTTAACCAAAGTTGCTGTCCAGTACATTCAGAGGTCACTTTTTGTTTTTCACAGATTTTCTTTTTGATGTTCTTTCTTTTCCATGTTGTATTGCAATTTTTTGGGGAAGCAAATTGACTTTAAAGAAAAAAGTTGTAGCAAAAGATGCTAAGGGGGGAAGTTTTCTCCACACTGAGGCAAAAGGTGGACGCCCATCCCCGTCCCAGGCGTGTGGTCCTTCAGGTAATGCGACAAAGCTGTCCCATCGCCCACAGCTCTGTGCAATAGAAACTGCTACAAGGGTAGGCTCGGGGCTCTCGGAGGATGTCAATCAGCAGTCAGGCTGGGAGCGACACTGGTTCCTCCGCAGGAGCGTGGTCACCGTGGCTAGGAGCAGTCCTGATGGGTTTTTAAGTTAAGGTTGGAAATACGTACCTGACAACGATCAACGGAAATTGCTTCCTCACCACTACGTCATGTCTGCTGTCTCTTTGACCTTCCACATGACAGTTCTTCACAATTCCTTTAATCATTTTTTAAATATTTTTTTTTTACCGCCTATGGGCTGTGATGTATATAGAAGTTGTACATTAAACATACCCTCATTTTTTTTCTTTTTTTTTTCTTTTTTTTTTTCTTTTTTTTTTTTTTTTAGTACAAAGTTTTTAGTTTCTTTTTCATGATGTGGTAACTACAAAGTGATGGTAGATTTTAAATAATTTTTATTTTATATATTTTTTCATTAGGGCCATATCTCCAAAAAAAAAAAAGAAAAAATACAAAAACAAAAAACAAAAAAAAGAGGGTAATGTACAAGTTTCTGTATGTATAAAGTCATGCTCTATTTCGGGAGAGCAGCTGATCACCATTTGCTTCATGAATCAAGGTGTGGAAATGGTTGCGTACGGATTGATTTAGAAAATGGTCACCAGTACAGACAAAAAAGAGAAAAATACAAATAAAAGGAAGAAATACAACTTCAAAGATTTTTCAGTGACGAGAATCCACATTTGTATTTCAAGATAATGTAGTTTAAAAAAAAAAAAAAAAGAAAAAAATCTTGATGTAAATTCCTCCTTTTCCTCTGGCTTAATGAATATCATTTATTCAGTATAAAATCTTTATATGTTCCACATGTTAAGAATAAATGTACATTAAATCTTGTTAAGCACTGTGATGGGTGTTCTTGAATACTGTTCTAGTTTCCTCCCAGTGGTTTCCTGGTAACCCAGTCACTTATCAGATACAGAGGAATACAGCCGTGTACTAACCAAGTCACTCGTCACCAAACCGTGAGGTCGGAAGGGACCCTTAAGGGTTACCGGCTATAGAGTGGGGAGCAACAGTTTGACTTTCTCAAAATTATTTAGCTGATTAGCCTTTGTTTGAAGCAATCAACTCTAACGCCATGGAGGTCTGAGACTTTTCCGTGTACGTGGGCGGTGGCTGCCAGCCCGTGGGGCGAGGCCTCGGGAGCTGTCCGGCCTGAGTGAGACTCTGCCTTTTACTAACTAACCCGTCTTAACTTTAACCAGAGTCCGATCTATCCGGTGTTTCTTCTGTGTGCCTCAGAGTTACTTTGCATTTAGTTTCCTCCACCGTGTATAATATTTATATTGTGCAATGTTAAAGAGAATATGTTCTATTGTATGTGGTGTACATAGTGCGAAGTGATTATTTCTATTTCAGGGCATATCACTATTCTCATATTCCTTCCTACCTGGTGCACAGTAGCTTTTTAATACTTAGCCGTTTCTGATTTACACGTTTCCTTCCTGGGTCATTGACTGTTACTGTCGCGATCACTCTGAAACTGCTGCAGAACGAAGCTGTCAGTGGGCACCCTCTTAAGTCTACCTCTTCACACACCCTCCCGGCACCGCCTGCCAAACTCCGAGTCCTCCGCCGGGCCTGTGGTCCGGGCGCCCGTCGCTCATGCTCACCCTGGGAAGAGTTAGGCAAGAGCTCACAGTTCTGATCCGAGTGAGACGTGACTCTCGAGTGTCACAAAGGAAAGTTTTCCTGCAAGCAGCCTCGTCCATCAGCGCCCACATCCCTTAGTCTTCTCACATAGCCATCAGCCAGACGTGTGGTGAATTAAAAACCCATTCGTAATCTACTTGAAATACATCTGCTTGCTGAGAACAGATTCTAGAGCTCCGAGCTTCAAATACAGAGATGTGTAAGAGGGGGGTTCGGTATTATTAGAGCTCCTCTCTTATAGAGTATGAATAAAAGGTGTATACAAACTTCAAAGTCTAGTATCCCAATTCATTTGTCCATCAAAAGAGTAAAATCATTACAGAAGACTGTTGTTGTACTCAGTACCTAGTTGAGTTGTACCCAGTACCTAGAGTCCGACCACTGAGTGACACGTGTCTGCGTACTGACATGACCGTGACCCTAGAGTAATCCAGGAAGACTAGCATCCTTCCTACATTCTCGCCCCAGAGTCAAGACGACCAGCCCCTGAAGGACTCAGCCTGCCTGAGATCATCTTGCCTACAAACTGAGTTACTCTCTGTCCTAACAATTAGCTGTTGTCCTTTTCTTATGAGGCTTCTCAGAAATTCACAGGATGCCCGTACTTCAAATGTGTAAAAAAAAAAAAAAAAAAAAAAAAGATGAAAATAAAGGTGCAAAGAAAGTTTAGTATTTTGGAATGGTGCCATAAAGTGGAGTCTGTTGGTATCGGAGTGAATTTTTTTTAATGTCACATAAAAGCTACTATTGGGTGGCAGGTTCTCAAAAACTACTCAAGTGTTTTATTTGAGGTTGAGAATGACATAGAATCAGTTTGGTTTTGGTTTTTTTTTTGGTGAATGTGGCCTATTCAAAAACTAGTTAAGCTGTTTTTTAAAAGAACGGAATGATTTTTTTAGAGCGGTCAGGGATGAGCAGATTGAAGACACAGTGTAAGCCACTAACTGCCTCTTATGAAAAGAAGGCCGTTGCCCTGAAATCCATCCGTTTAAAAACAGTTGGAAATTGCCCACATCCTATCAAACCTCAGGTGCCAGTTCCCGCAGGTTCACCTTAGAGGAAGCAGGGAAGTATGGTAAGTGAGCAGAACAGCCCATTCCTTCTGCTGACTCTTCTGTGTGGAGAGCTGAGGCCCAGCTGCCTGACCTCCTTGCGTCCCCACCCCGACCCTGCGCCCCACCCCCCAGGAACGTCATAGAGTCTATGACAGACTAACTTTAAATCGCCAGCAGACACGTGTGGTCTGCAGCCCACTGGCATGTCCCAGTATTAATGGAGCAGAGATGTACTGAGCACATGCTATGTGCCAAGCTATGTTCTAGGCACTGAGGCATCGTTAATGAACAAACACCCCATTTTAATTACGTTCTTGTCTTTTCTGTCAGTTATAGGAATAAACGGATCTCCCGGATAGAGTGTTCGTGCGTTGAGAACACCTAGTATAATTAACTTGTTGACTAAAAAAGAAGGTGAACCTGGGTGTGGGGAGAAGAGGGTTAGGGGTTTGGGTTAGGGTTAGGGTTAGGCCGAGAAATCATGGACCTCTCGGGAGATCCCAGGCTATGGCCTGACTGAGCTCAACCGTGTGGACGGATGGTCCCCAAGGTCCTGTCCACCCTGACAGGTGGATTCTGGGGCTTCGGGTCCTTTCCTGCTTGTCTTCAGGTGATGGGCTGTGTGTTCCAGGTAGAGGGTAGACAGAGACAGGACCTTGGATCCCAGTTTACAGGATAAGCCCTTGGAAATCCAGGAACTGGCGGAAACTGCACGGAGATCTTATTCTATAACGTGACGGGCCCATCTCAGTCCCGGGCTTCATGCTCTGCCCCGATCTCCAGTGCTGCATCTGGTGGTGACCAAGTCCTTCAGTCCTTTCAAACGCCAGTCAATCTAGCAGGTTAACTTGGGATTTATATTCAGGAAACGCTGAGGGGAAGTTGGGGGAAGGCCGTCAACTGTATCCAAAATTACAAGACTCCGTTTTTCTTTGTCCTGAATTTGGTTTTAGGGAGTTGAAGTTTATCCCTAGCTTTTTCCAAAGTAAATCCTAAGAAGCATAAGAGATGTCTCAGAGCAAACGCCTTACGTGTTCTCTTGGCCAACGATAACCCATATCGTAGCATTGAAGACTGAGGAATCCTGCAGAAAAGAGCCTGTGTTTCAAGCACTTCCTGACTTGGTAACCGGGGAGCCTTTTACTCTGAAGCCCTATAAACCTACTGCGAGCTTTAAGTACCTGCACCGACCGCAGATCTTGCCTGACTCCTAAGCCATGCTCCCTGCGTACGTGTCCACAGTGTATTCTTACGCCTGAGACTGAAGCAGGGACAGCCTCCCTGAAGTCCTGGGACCTCTGTCAGCGTCCCTGTAGCCTTCAGCAAGTTTCTGAATTTCCCCAAACCTCAGCTTCCTCACCTGTAATATGGGGTGATGCCTGTCTGGGGGTTGGTGAGGATTAAATACGATCTCTAATGATAAAAGCATAATATGCTAATGAGATCGGGCATCCTTCCAGCCATCCCTCTGGACAGCCGCAACGGGCAGGGGCCGGGGCCAAGGCCCTTGCACAAATTCCGGGCATCGGCCTGTAGTGATTATATAAAGGCCTTGTAGCCTCAGTGATCGCTGTTCATTAATCCTACACACACATGTGCACATGCAATCTTCCTTTGCTGTGCGCCCTCACAGGTATCTCCTGCAATGTTTAAATCTGGCCTAAGGCCCTCTGACCACTTCATAACCAGTCACACACCTCACGTGACAGTTGTTGGTTTTCTATTAAAAGCCCTGAAGGCTCAGTCTGTGGGTTGCCTGTG